TTGATAATAGGATTCAATAAATCACCGACTGAAAATGATAGCTCGAATTGCTGGGCTAAGTCATCGTGAGGGTATGAATGGTATAATATATACGTATGTATATATATATATATATATTATGGATATCAAAGAAGCTAGTGGATGCTAGTGGTGGTTTATTAGGATAAATAAACATACACCCCGATATTGTGCCCGACCAACTCACAGCACCTTCCGTAGCGTATCGATCTTCTCCTGCACTCGCCACTTCAGAAACTCTGAGAATGCTTTTGCAGCCTGGATCTGCAAGTCATGGGGGTTTAGTCATGGATCCCAGTTTTAACCATGGCTTTCACTACTAAGTCATAGTCGAATGACTTGGATGAAAACTGGTGGTATCCCCATGACAGGGGGACATCGCTCAATTGGGGTGATCAATGGTGATCATCCTATAGGAGTAGCCTCAGCGAATCAAAAATGGCAATGGGACATCTGTGGACAATCCATGGAAATATCATCCTATCTAAATCTATCTATATACCCTATAGCAAACCATCAAATTTCCAGGCTTCCCCCCGCGGGGCTGTGCCTCCGGAACTTTCCCCCCGTGGAAGCGCAGGAAGCGACACACGCGGATGTCTCCCACCACGTCGCGTGGTGAGTCTGGCAACGCTTGAAGCTCCGCCTGGCTGCGTGCGATGGGATGATCAATGATCAACAATTCACTGGGGAACCATGGCACCAATGTGCATAAACTTTGGAAAGGATCATGTGGTTTCAGGCCCAACACTGTTCTCGCGCATTTTCGTGCTGCCACAGCCATCTGGCATTCCCCATGCAACAGCACGTGGCCAATAGTTGGCTATATACATCATAATGCTCCATCCTCAACGCATCAAGCGGGACCAGCCACCATTGCAAAATTATCCTATGCTAACCATTATTGTTAATGTTTATATATGTTTATATTTGTATGTTGTCGTCAGTTTATGTCCATGCTTGCTTGTGACCCTACAGAAACGAAACTGGTTTGTAACTACCCAAGTAACGGCAAATAACGTCATGCATCACCCCGTCAAGGTGGTACCATCAACCCCTATATACCCAGGCCATGGAGTGAATTGACTGATTCATAATCCCTACGCCTGGATAGCGCTTATAACATGTTATAACCCGGTGACAAAACAGTTCACTAACCCCATGGCCCCATGGCCCATCTAAGTACCAATCTCCGAAAAGCCTATTTTTCTGGGCTCCCAAACCACCAGCAAGCCATATTAAAAAACAGTGGCCCACCTGGGGATGAATCCCTGATACCATTGGGCCAAGGTGCTGCGCATTTCTCCCGGATCTGCTCCAATTTCTTGAGCTCTTCCGCTGAGGGCCAACTGCAGTCCTGAGGGCGCTAGGTTAAACTACGAAGACTGACGGATTCAATAAAAACCATGGAGAATTTGATGAACAACTTGGGGGATGCTGAATGATTTAACATGATTTTTTTTGCCTTCCACATGGAAAAAGAAAACACATCACACATCCAATTTCTGGGAAATTATGAACACTGGCACCTGAGGGGAATGGAATAGGCATGGGCATGGTCTACTCGTGCTATATCCATGTTACATGTACGTATGAATATGTAGTAGATAATATGCAACCAATAAATCTGCATAGTTCTAAGGGTATCCTGGTGATTTTTAATCATGCTAGCTGATCTGTATGAATTTCAGTGGATTCAATCATTCATCGAGAACAACTACTTCAATGCCAAAGCGTTCAGTGCTATGGACACATGTCCCAATCTCAGGTTGTCCAATCAATGACTATACATGACTATACCCTCTGGTAAGTCAAACATGGAAATGGACCATCCCCCGTTGATGTCATGGCTTTTTCATAGGTGTTTCCCATTAACATGCTCATTTAGTTGGGGCATTTTCCAGCCACGTTTGTTTCCGGGATGAAAGAGCCATGCCTCGGGGACTTGGCCGTATGTGTGTGTATATATATATATATGTGTGTGTGTGTGATTTGTATATAATTATATATATATATATATGTGTGTGTGCATGTGTGTGTGTGAATGTGTGTGTGTGACATTTTCTAATATGATTTAATATATGTATGTATATCGGATAGTATTCTTGGAAACGTGGCCTAATTTCATACTAATTTCTATACTTTCTATGTTCTACACCATTCCCATATATTCCCATCCATTGCCCAGTTTACGGCAACCATGTGACAGCACCATCAAAAGTGTAGCTGGCCATGGCCGCCAGACTTGCGAGGGATTGGTGATGGGCAATGGCTGGCGGATCAGGAGGCTGGTCATTTTGGGGAAGGGGCTTAGGGTCGGAGTACCAAGGGCTTAGTCTTAGAGCACGGCATTTTCTAAAACATAGTTACGCGATTTTCAATAATAAAAAAAACAACTGCTATATAATATGTTCAAAACAACTACTTACATATACTTACATGACGTTCGATGAAAAAAACAACTGCTATATAATCAACCCAAGCCATTGTAAAGCATTGAGCTTACCACATCATCAAAATAAGGCAAATGTCCTCGAGTCCAAGGTAAGTTGACGAACCTGCACCACTGTCACCACGATGCCATTTTTTTAGGATCTGCAAGATGAGAACGCCTTCAGCGTATTGCGCGTGTGCTGCAAAGCCTTGTTGTCAGCTTGGATGCCTTGTTGTCAGCTTGGATACCCACCAAAAACAATTTCAATGGAGAAGAAACGTCAAACCATCGATTATTGGGTTCTTGGGGCTCAAGAGGATGGCAGCGGGTGATAGCGGGCTAATGACATGGTTCCACACTGGTACGGTACGATAAGGCTCGTTTTGAGAAACAAACAGATGGGTGGTTTGCTATCCTTTTTGTGAAAAATGGAGACCGGCACCCCCAAGCATCCAGAAAGAATTCTCTAGTTGCTCCCACAACCCCAAAGTCTTAAGCCAACCCAAAGGATCTTCAACCCTTCCCACACCTGACTTCCTGGTCAAGAATTTAAGCAAAGGAAGAGCCCCCCCCTAGATCTGTAAGTTGGTCTTGAACTAGGACTGGGGGTTTATAATGGATATGTCATGATATGTCTACATTCGATGGGGTTATAAATGAACTTGCAACTGGGCTCGGCAAGGCTGATGCAGAGTTGGCGCAATGGGTTGTCACAGTGGAGAACTGTGATCAGTCATTGTCAGGTAGCACAACGGTGCCCCCAGGCATGCAAGCAGAGTCTTGCGAAACATCTGAATGTATCATCCTTTGTCTCATGGCTACTATGGTAAACACCAGGAACATCACCAAATAATTAGCATTAGCTGATTCCGGCATTTTGTAGTTGTCATAGTCATACACCATACCCACATCCGGGGTTATTATGACATACCAGGTTTATATACCCGTACCGGCCCGTACCCCATGAATTTGGAAAGAATGTTCAAGTGCTTCAACTCAGGCATTGCCTCATTTATGCCGCCCAACGGTATAATCTGGCCAAATCAACTTAACCTTTTATTCTCACATCAGAAATAATGCTAGTAAGGTAATAAACCACCAATATTTTGATCGTTAACACCACCTAAATATTTATGGTAAACTTGGGGATGGTGTATCCTATTGCTTTACAAACATTACACACATTAAACAATATAAATGATGTTTGGGACACGAACCCTAAAACACATGATGTTTGACCACCTTGGCGCCTTGGCGCGGCTTTCTGCTGATGACATCAATGCTTCACAAAACCGCGATTGGTCAGCACTTTTGCTGAGAGACCAGGAGCTGAAGCTGCTACACTCCAGATGGCACGGGTCATGATTTAAGGAAACTTCAATTCAGCTCTAGTGCATCTGATGCGGTATGAGGCAGCTCATGGTATCAATTCTTATTACATGTGACACATGTGTCATGTTCACTCAGTTTACTCTGAGATTATTCTTTACACACATGCACTGGGTTCTGACACTGCCCAAGTTTATCACCCTTGGCCTTAATGTATCGATCTTATACAGTATGAAAACGACCTTTACCATAACCCCAAGAATTCCGCTGGCCGCAAGTAATCAGCCCCAACACGTACATAATGACATAATGTATGTAATGTAATGTAACGTTCTGTTCTTTATGTTGTGTTGTGTTGTGTATGTATATCACTGCGCATATAGAGTAGACGCGGAAAAACGAGATAGGTCGCTCTCAAAATATGTGGCCATGGGACCTGAACTTCAGCCGCTGCATCTCGACCAGCTTCGCTGATTGAGATTTGAGAAACGGATGGAAACGGATCATCTGATAGGGCTTGAAACCACCTGAGCAAAATACATCAAAATACATGAGTTTGTCTCATGAGTCTCGCAAGACTGAGTTCTATTTCACCAAACATACCAAAACTCATAGTCGTCTTGAGTCGTGGAGCAGCCCAGCAATTGAAGTCGTACATCAGCCTGGCGCTTTTGAGCCAGGAAAGGTTTTCATCGGCAAATCAACATCGCAGGTAGGAATGGAAATAAACATAACGAAGACTAAAAATCTATTGTCTAGGATTACTTTTGCAACTTGATGTCATTTTCCTTACTAGGTTTTTTTTCCTCACCGAATCCCTATATATCTTAAGATAATATATAAACAAAACTTTGCAAGCAACCAGTGCAGTGATGGATCTTAATCATGTCATATTATGTCATGTGGAATTACCATCCGGCAATTTAAACTAGCTATTCAAAATTGTTCAAAATAAATCCCATATAATGTCAACCCTGGAGTAATAACCCCCCTAAGCTGTTTATTTGGGGGGTACCATTTAGGTATCAGATTATGACCATTGGGGGAAAAACCACCATGAGTACATAACCAAACCATGGTTTATTTATGCCAGGTTGACCAGGTTGATATTGTGGATGATTTTCCCACGAAATCTTCGCTTCCATTTCCACGGGGTTTCCCACTGCCATGTTGGATTGGCACAAAACCATCATCATCCCCGGGCCATCCGGCCGCATCGTTACACAGCGCATGGGGCAGAGCATGAGCAAAACCTCAGAGCGGGACTATCTACCCGGCTTGCATACGTGGAGCTCAATATGCTCAATATACTCAATAAGCAAACATGGCTATTGTAAATCACCATTTTCTATAGGTAAATCATGGTAAATCATCGAACTAAATGGGTCATTTTCCAGTGCTATGTTAGTATATTATGTCTGTTTGTCATATATAATTATTCTGTTTTTTATTTTTGATATATATGTATGCACCGGTGATCAGATCACGGGTGTTTGGCACATATCAAGTGACTGTTCTATCCGAGTATGTCTATATATATATATATATATGTGTGTGTGTGTTTTCAGCTTACTTATCCTAATTTACTGTATCTTCTGTGTATCTACATGCAGTATATACATATATTTAATATATGTTTAGGATATTTTGAGGATTGTTTAGGCATTCGATCAACTCTTTGGACTTCAAACTTGTATAAATTGTTGGCTGTGAGCCCGTGTCGTAGTTTGTAAGCATGCCCGGTGGCGAAACCCGTGATGAAATCCAACTAGAAGTCAATGCAAACTGGGCACATGATTAAATGTTGCAAGCCGGAGACATCATTCATGGTGCTGTTGTTGATCCAGGCTATCATCATGTGTTCCATCTCTTTTTGCTTGGCCACACTGTTCTCCAGGCCAAACACTCTCATATGTGTGTATATATATATATGCCTTCATCTGGGGTGAACAAGATGTGTGACCTATTATCCACCATCCACCAGCTGCCAAGTCGCCATCCACTGCTCGGCGGAGGTCCTTCTTGGATGTCAACTTTCAACTCCGTCTCCTTTTCAGGCACTTCTTCCTGGAGCCATGGCAGGAACAAGGTTAACTCATGTTAACTCATAGTACCCCTGAAGCATCATGCCTGGATCTTGATATATCTTGATCATCAGTTCGTTTCCAAATCATCATGCCATGTTCCAATCCAAAAAAATCTCGAAACCTGTCATTGCCCCACCGCCCCCAAGGGCCCCCAAGGGTCTCCTCTACGTTCACCACCGGCAGCGGCTCGTCCTCCTCCTCCTCCTCCCGGGTCGGCTCCGCGTAGCCCGCAGGCTCCGGCGGGTTCTCCTCGGGAGCCGAGGGCGACGGCTTCGGGGTGGCGCCATCCTTGGTGATGCCTGCGGTGCTACGCGCCATCCAAGCCTTCACCCTGCCGGGGATGTGCCACTGGGAATGGAACGGCTAAAGGATGGCATGTTGGAAGTGGATCCATGCCATATGGTTCCAAACTCTATCTGAGAAGGTACTTAACCCCCCAAATCATACCCCAAACACTTCCTAAGAAGGTACTTGGATCCATAGGGATGGGATAATCCATGGGATATACCTTGGAGATTGACCATAGTCATAAAAATTGGCATGCACATGATGCACTTTTAATGCACTTCTACCTGGTCTAAGCAGCGATTCATGATCTTTGTCGGATTTTGTGGGGTATAAATAAAACAACTCCTGGGATCTATGGGGATATATCCCACTGAGCCGATCAGTATGAATTGCTCATTCTATGGCAACATTTCAATGGGATTAGAGGGGTTGATTTGACCCTGGGGACGAGATATCGGGACATTTGGAGGCACGGCAAACAAAACACCACGCATTCTTCCCAGCATTTGCTAGAAAAAATATGGTGCAAACCTTGCCTCATTGGAGCTTGATTGCTTGGCTTACCATGGTTTCATATTGGTTTCCAAATTCTCAGTAACTCCTAGCTGTGGTTCACAGCGTGGAGAGTGATACTCCAGTAGTCAAGAAGTTTGTTGTCAATGTTTGCGCATGGATTAACAGCCATTTGGATCCATTTGGAACCTCTATATATTGTATAAATCTGTATGGCCTGTCCGCATAGTGTAATGCAGTGTGTACGTTGCTTGTGTTATGTGAACCTCAAGATGCCATGGTGCCGACACAAAACTCTATACAGTCTGCTGCCTAGAACCAGTGCAGTGAGAAAGCAATACTGATAAAAATCATCGACGCATCAATATGTTGCCCAAGGATGTTCAAGGCCTAAGGAGTTCAAACATTCTGGAGAATCATGGGGAATCATTTCATCGAATAGTCTGTCAATTATAGCATTAAGGTCTACAGAAAGGTCTACAGTGAGACATGTGCTGATCACCAGTCTTTCAACCATGCTTGTCTGAGATCTCAAGGTGTGTCGTGTGAACAGGTTCCCTTACTGTATACCGAATGGAATAAGAATCCCAAGCCATGCAAACATCACAGCCAAAGCCAAAGACCCAACCTCCAACTTGCGGCCCCCAAGGAATCCCGGGCCTCTTCTCATCTTGATATAGCAAAGGCTTATAAAACGGCACATCTTCTGCCCTTCGACTTCCTGCAACACAAGAGTTGCAGGATTCGAATCATCCAGGAGGATGGATATCAATAGATGCTACAACCATCCAAAGATGAGCCTCAGTCTTCCATGGTCTTAGCGGGACGAAAACAAAAGTTGAGAAAAGCCAGAAACTCTCAGAGCCTCTGCTGCTCGAACATGCTGGCATCGTTTCTAGTTGCTTCATGCCAAAACCCAAGACATCCACGACATCCACGCGACGTCCTCCGAGGGATTCGGGGAAGATGCTTCGTGGGCCGAGGGCCCTCAAGACGTTTTGAACGTCAGAGCCGGTCGCGGTACCTGCCAGGTCAGATGCCACTCTCTCTCTCTCTCTCTCTCTCTCAGCGTTGCTCCTTGACTCCTTGACTCGGGCTCATCCATCACATAACATAGCAACATGTAGGCCTCCAAAAGATGTGAGAATAGTTGATTCCACATGAACACCTGCTACGAAATCATGGACTCAGAGAGTTCCATCAGATCCCAAGTTGAGTGCCTAAAGATGGCAGTCTTAAATGCCCCGAAAAGAACAATCAACTGAAAAACATTAAATAAATAAATAAATATATATATAATATATATATATATTATAAACAGAAATATATATATATATAACTCTATAACCCACTATTTGTGACCCTGAACTACCCTCAATAGTAAACTAGCCGAAGCTCAATCCCGTCCCCTAATGCCCCCCACATGAATATATACAGCGCATTTCACGAGCTTTTCTTGGCGTTTGTTTGATAGGGATAGAGGAAAAACAGATTCTACTAATCGAACTATAGATATATCAACAAAATCATCCAAACTAAACTCAATGGATTGGTTTAATGGAAAAATCACAGGAAACCCCACATTTCATGGGAAAATTCATGGTTTCCGGTAGATTTTCCCTTAAACCAATCCATTGATATCCCAGTGAAGGCCGAGAGACCCATGACTTTGATCCGATTGGATTGGCGCTTGGCCATGAAGGTCGTAGCAAACGCAGTGATGGCGCGCACCATGAAGGGTGCATTCACCACCTGATTTCAGGTGGTCACCACGATTCACCACGAACCAAAGATATGCATATTCATGTACATATAAATATATGCCTTTAGTATCTGAATTGCATGTATATAGGCACACACACACATATATATATATGTCTATGATATAATACACATATATATATATTATCTGGGTAAATTACAGTATAGAAAGTCACTGACCTGACGGCCCTGAATTAAGGTCATTCTAGGATAGTTACCCGTACAAACCATTCCAGTGAGGTCGCAGTGAGGTCGCTATAATTTACCCACACACACACTAATAATAATATATATATATATAAGTACGACACCTCCCACCTCCATTGAAATATTTATAGTAAAAATGAAGTCCAATAGTTTACACACATGAACTACAGAGATACATGAATTATGAACTGCATTGATTTGACCACAGGGAAGGTTTTGTAGAGCTTCAACCATTGAGTTTGTGAGGTAAAGTTGGGGGGATGACTGCAAAAAACTCGTATCAATGATAGGTAGTTGCTATTTTCAGCAAACCATGGTTGGAAGTCAATGCGAAATGATCATAATATTAAACATCGAAGTCAAAGGGGTGCTCAACCGTCAGCAAAGATTGGGCAAAACCTGTTTACCTGACCTTACCTGACCTTACCTTGTGGACGGATTGCCCGCTTTTATTCAGCCAAGTGTTTCAAGTCATTAAACATTGACTTGTGTAAAAACATGGTAGCCACAGAATCCTTGCCCCTGTGCAAGAACTCTTGCCAAAGTTCTAGGACGTCCCTTTCGTGTGCCGTGCTCGGAACAGATTTGTGGGTTGTGGTCATGCAAATCATATGGACATTGACATACTCATAGTGAGTATACATATACATTACATATATAATAATATTTGCATAGTATATTGTATATGATATGTATATATATATATCCCTGTGAATGGATTGATGGCAATTCCCCAATATATAATATGCGCAGCACGGTAAAGGACTCAGCCACACACACAAACAGAACACACACACATATTTAACTATATGTACAATAATATATATATATATATAATTATATATATATAGTAACCGAACTTTTTTTTATAACCATCCGTCTTCATATCTCTTCACAACCTCCTCCAGCTGGGTTGCGAAAGCTTCCAAGCCCTTACTAGTGGTTGGTGGTATTTATAAGCCCGGGAAAACCCATATAAACCCAGAGTAAACCCATAAAAAAACCATGGTAAACCCATAAAAAAAAACATAAAAACCCATATAAACCCCAGAAATCATCAGGTCTAACAAAACCGGAGAGTCTCGTTTTCCATCCGGAGATTCCAAGATATTCCAAGGTACTAGCAGCAAGATATCCTGCTCGCAGTAAAAACTCATCACCTCGGTTTTGTCAGCCCTCAGTGGAGCCCTGGAAGATCTGTCAAAAAGACGGTTTAGCTGTTAACCATTATGGCTATAACTATTGGTTAACCATCATAGTTTAGGTATAATAACTATGGCTATAACTATTGGCTGGTTTGTGGTGCAATAACCATCTTGAACAAATATTAGTCAATGGGAAGGATGACAACCCATATATATATAATGGAACATGAAAACATGTTCCAAACCACCAACCAGAAGATGTCTGGTTCAATTGAGATACATCCCGGTTGAATGTAGTAACTCAATCTCACTCCATCGCCTTCTCAAGGACTTCAGCAGAGCTAAAGGCGAGTAAGATACAACTCCGCGAAGCGGAAAAGGAGTGTCAGCAACCAAGCTGATGCACAAGTTGCTTCATTTCCCTCATCCACTTTGCTGGGAGACCGGATATTTCTACTACTATTGAAAGGGCATGAAACGGTGCATAGGGCAAGGGAATGGTTCGTAGCACTTCATCCGCACAAGGAGCCTACTAACTCAATCAATTTAAACTATCTTGGCAACAATTATTAAATATTTACCTGACCTCTTGAGGATAGCTGGGTCCACAGTGGGTTTCTGAATCGAATGTTCCAGTGACCTTTCCCAGGTTGTCTTGGGCAAACTTCCTGATCTCTGGCACGAAGACGGGCAACGTTTCGTTGCCAAGCTCCCGACAATCAATCCTGGTCAAACGCTCCAGGTTGCTTATTCGATTGGTGGAAGGGAAAATCTACAGGAAAACACCATACTTGGATATATTTGATGGAAAAAAAACATGGAAAAACCTGCAGAATTTCCCTTAAACCAAGCCATTGACTTATTCTCCGGTATATAAGTATATAACAATTTGCCATAGTATCTCTCTCCATCACCATCATGGCTTGCCCCTTTCAGTTTGGTGCTTTCCAATGGTGATTGTCACTGCTGTTTGGATAGTCCATAGCTATGTTAAATAACCAAAGGGTAACTGCTGTCTGATGCAGGGCTAGATCTTAGCTGCCCCATGTCCCAATAGAATTTCAACAGCACTCAATCATTACATCTGCCAGGGTCAAAACATGGAATTGGGGGTATGGTTGTCCATCCCACAATTGATGGATTAATAGCCATACCCTATGGGAACACCTCGCAGTGGCACCCAGGCAAGTTGACCGAGGCAATCTGCCCCAACTGGTCAGAATGGCCGGTCGCATGGTGGAATCCCATGCCGCTCTTTTGACCAAGCGTCAGTTTAATTGCATAGCACATCCTTGGAAAGATCTTGGGACTGGCAAGGAACCACTAAAGCCTCCATCGGCTTGACATGTCAGGCCCGCAGGCATTGGCTGAACTACAAAATATCGACCCAGTTGAGCCACATGCTACAGCACACTTTCTCACTCGCAGACCCAGCTGGAAGGTTTGAAATCCGGAAAAAAAATACGGCGTAGCAAGACCCAGAAGAGGCTGAGGTAAAAGAGATAGTGAGAGGTCAGGCCTGCACATCGTTTCACCAAGCATCTTCTTTCTCTTGTAGCAATTGTCATCCACTTGCTTCATGAAGTACTCCAAGGAGACCCGAATTAGCTGCAAATCGTTGTCCTTGGGTTCAATGGGCTCTAGGAACCCAGGCAAGCAGAGGCCACCAAAGAAATATCTAGAGGCACTTACGCATAGAAAGTAATAGAAGTATCTGCAAACTATTTCAAACTTGGAGATGTGCATCTAGACTTTTAAACACGTCAGCACTTCAATCCTGCTTAGATTCATCGACCAAATTTTGAACCAAAAAATCTGGAGATGGATGGATCTGTCTTCGACTCACTGCATCTCAGCTGCTGCTCGTGCCAGAATTTGGCGCAACCCTACCAGAATTATCCAGAAACAACCCGAGCCAGTTTCTTCATGTTCCATTAAAGTTATCTCCATAGTTCGGGCAAGTTGATCGCAGTCAACTTGAAGTAGTTGAAGACTACCTATGTTTATCTATGTCTGCTATCATTGGCCCGCTCAGATTATTCAGAGACATCACACCAAGCGATTCCAAGACTCCAAAGTATGACAAGCTGGTCGCTTGCTCACAAACTCGTTGGGCTTAGTGACGTGGGCTGTTTTGGTAAGCTGATGGGCTTGTTGGGAAGGGTCAGCAGTGTTAGCTTTGGAACATGGTAAACATGGCTTTCATGAATGAAAATAAGCCGCCTCACACATGTCTCAGGAGCAATGGGACTGGTGGCAGTTTGTGTGGCGTTCAATCCTCAGAAGAAAAACTGGCTGGTGAACATGGACACCTGGGTAGACTTTGTCTCTCTCCTTCTGTCTCCGTGCACCTGCTTTGTCCAAGTGCGGAAGACCAAACCATAAATGAATATGGATCAAAAGCCTGGTGCCCCTTTTGTTTCAGCCCAAAATAGCTTTTCAATTCATGGATGTTCATCAACCATAATATGTAAGTCTTGATCTATCCTCAAACCATCTTCAAAACCCATAGCCCATACTGATGGCTGATCATGTTTATCACTTGTCACCATATTTCACGTTCACATGGACCATGTCCTTTAGGCATGCCATATTTTGAAATTTGAGACACACCCCAACATCACACTGTATTGTATCATATTGTCAGTTGTATCTCCCATTATGTTCCCCTGAAATGGTGGGGTTCCTCATGAAATATATTAAATCCCCCTATGTTTCACCAAGTCTCAGCAAAGAAAAACAACACTCATGAAATCCTCATGATCTCCCCATAGCCGCCATTTTTCATGGAGAAAATCATGACGGTCACCGCGGATCTCCCAAGGCCCTATGGGGCGACATTGGGAGTCCCCACCTTGAAGGAGCCGGGGGAGGTGAAAATCACGAAATGCCCGTCCTGCGGAGGACCCCAGCAGGATATGCTCCATATGCTGCTGGAAAGAAACCATGACTGGTTGGTGGTTATACCTACTCTGAAAAATGATGGAGTTTGTCAGTTGGGATGATGACATTCCCAACTGAATGGAAACATAAAAGCCATGTTCCAAACCACCAACCAGATGATTTTGGGGCTGTTGGTAAATCTTCCACCAAGCATTGATGAAAGTCTCTGGCAGGGAGACCCTTTCCGAGCTGTGCCGCGACTGAGATGGCGCAGTTCCAAGCTGAGCTGAACGTGAAGTACTTGGCAGGTAGCAGCCAGTCAATTGACTGGAATAAGGCTCGGAAATTGCAACTACAACTTATAAGCCCAAGACCACCTTCTCCCGCCACACTAAAAGTCATTGTAGATATAGGTATGGACAAATTCAACACTTGTAGATGATTTCCCCCCAAAAAAATCACATGGAGTTCCTCCGTCTCAGTGAAGCCAGGTACAAACATCGGAGTGTAGGGTGACATCACTGACCTGCCGCCAGGGGGTTGAAGTGTCCGTATGCTACTCTCCCATTCCAGCATGCATGTGGCAATGCATGCATGAACAATTCAAGTGCATGTTAAAAGAAAAACAAAGATAATACATTTTGATACAAGTTGAACATGTGTGAACATGACGTGTGCAGTTGTGTTATATTGTGTTCGTACGCGTCAACATGTACAAGTATTTCTTGATGCACATGTTTCTTCATCATCATGTTCTATCAACATTGCATGACATTTGGAGTAAATTTTTGGACATACCCAAATACCCATATTGTCATGAAATCCCCGAATCTGGTTGGTCTGGTGAAATCTGATTATCGCAGATTCCCTTAATTCAATTAAACCTCCATTAAATCCCCATTTTGGATTATGATCTACCCTCTAAAAGAACATAGATGTGGAAAACCCATCATGAATGTAGACAAATTTCTCAGGGATGATTTACCTATTAAAGATGGTGATTATCCATAGCTTTACCACAGGGTAAAAAGGCTACATTGGCTAAGGATAATAGGGAGAAGTTCAGCGACAAACATGGGCATCTTGACAGATTGAGCAAATTGCGCAAAGTGTTGGGAGGTTCACCAATGGGGAGGTTAACAACAATTTCGCAAGACGACAGGTGGACTAACCAATGAAGAATGGGGAGACTGACGAAATGTAACCGCTTCCACTTCAAATGTTAACATGATTATATTGATCAACCGACTTAAAAACCAGATTTGCCTAAATACGATGTCAACCAACTCACCAATTGGACCCAAAAAAAAGTAGAGATTCAGCAAGATCCTGCTGCGGGCCCGAAAATTGCAACAGCATGACATGGAAATGACATAGAACGACTCCAGAGATGGCTTTGGAACCAGGGTTTCCTATTGGAAATGATGGCTTTGCTGATCTTTACCCAACTCACCTTTTGCGAAACATCATCTCGCCATGACTCCACGTGAAACATCCAACGTTCACTGGAAGATAACCCCCAAGTTGCAAAGGATTCTTCAGTAAACATCAGCTCCAGAGCTCGACTTGGACATGTCTGTGCAAAGTATTACTGCTACTGCTGCTACTGCTACTACTACTACTACTGCTACTACTACTACCACCACTACTACTACTACTACTGCTACTACTACTACTACCACTACTACTACTACTACCACCACTACTACTACTACTACTGCTACTACTACTACTACCACTACTACTACTACTACTACCACCACTACTACTACTACTACTGCTACTACTACTACTACTACTACCACTACTACTACTACTACCACCACTACTACTACTACTGCTACTACTACTACTACCACTACTACTACTACTGCCACCACTACTACTACTACTGCTACTACTACTACTACTACCACTACTACTACTACTACCACCACTACTACTACTGCTACTGACTACTACTACTACCTACTACTACCACTGCTACTACTACCACCACTACTACTACTACCACTACTACTACTACTACCACTACTACGACTACTACCACCACTACTACTACTGCTACTACTACTACCACTACTACTACTACTACCACCACTACTACTACTACTACTGCTGCTACTACTACTACCACTACTACTACTACCACCACTACTACTACTACTACTACCACTACTACTACTACTACCACCACTACTACTACTACTGCTACTACTACTACTACCACTACTACTACTACTACCACCACTACTACTACTACTGCTACTACTACTACTACCACTACTACTACTACTACCACCACTACTACTACTACTACTACTACGGTAGGGTAATCCCCATTGAATCCCATGTAATCCATATAGATTCCCATTAAATTATATAATTCCATCCATCTATTAAATCAACATGAAAATCGAGATTTCTCATTGGATTCCCATATAATTATATCCCATTAAATCCCTATTAAATCCCATTAAGTTCCCATGAAATCATCACATGCAGCTAAAGATCTCAAGCCACTTGGTGAAGTCCTTCAGGTTCAAGTCGATGATGCCCTGCAGATATTTTTCGGCAGTCGAACCACAGACCCGGCCTGGTAAACTAACGTAGCTATTGAAAATGGCCATTTATGGTGGATTTACCCATTAAAAATGGTGATTTTCCATAGTTATGTTAGTTTACCAGAGGGTACCCTCTGGTAAACTAAAATAGCTATTGAAAATTGCCATAGAAATAGTGGATTTACCCATTAATAGCATGGCGATTTTCCATAGTTTTTTGCATGTTTACCAGAGGGTAAACTATATCACAATATATCCATTTAAAACAATATGAAACACATGTATGCATCAATCTTTTTGGTGTACATCCGATAGTTGGTACATTAATATGAACTACATGATGTGAAATATAGATAAATATAAGATAGAAGACTATATAATATATGATTGATAATATTGATATGTATAACTACACATAAATGTGCGTTTGTACATCTCCCCATGACATCCCACGGGTCGCGCGATTTGCACCTCTCTGAGGACGTCGATCTTCTCTTCCACGCGGTACTGAAGGAACTTGGTATACGCCGCTGAGGCCTGCGACTGGGATCCCATGGGAGGTCCACTGGAAAATGCGAAGGGAAGGATCGATCATAGCAACCTTCATTTACAGATCGAGAAAAAAGGAATTCTAGATAAATCCATTAGATAAAACCATATGAATCCTAGAATTCAGGTGATAAGCGTTTTCTGCATCTTCGTTTTGGGTTACCCTTTGTTTTCATCAGTTGGTGCTGAGTTTCAGTCACCAGTTCTCATCATGTTACTGTTTGATCATGGCCCCAACTCAGCCTGCATTTGTTCACGTGTTTATCATGGGTCAACTGCCATCATCCGTTGTGTTCTTTGGATCTCCTGCTTAAGGCTGGCAAAATTCCGATGTTTGAGGCTAACATCTTCTCAAACTCCCCGTCGCTGGTTGAATTCAACAGGTGTACTGCTTAAAAGTGGCCGAATCCTGTGAAACAACAAGGTTTTGAAGCTTCAAATTTAGATGGTTTTTCCAGCCAATGATTTCCATATAATTAGCCAATTGGCTGAAAAACCCATCCAACAATTGGCCATCTTTCATCTTGGATGGGTTTTCCATGGTTTTCCAGCCAATGATTAGCTGGTGCCTTGGCCACATCGCCACTGAAGAAACGCAGGTAACGACACACGCGGATGTCTCCCACCACGTCACGTGGTTTTTCGGGCAAAGCATCTATGTGTTCCTTGGTGACGGAAACGATCGTTGGAGTTATTCGGTAAATAGAGGTAGTTATGACATTGTGAGCTGTGACCTATTTTTCTATGTGTATGTATATATATATATATATATAGAGAGAGAGAGAAAAAAAACATGTATGTATGTATGTATATATATATATGGCGTGGGTATACAAATACATATCTATATATGTATAGTAGGTGGGTGAGTTAGCTTGCTACATAGTTACATAGTTACATAGTTACATAGTTACATAGTTACATAGTTACATAGTTACATAGTTACATAGTTACATAGTTACATAGGTATAGTTCACTATACAGTTGGGAACCATAGCACACTGCAAACATGTTATATGGACATGGATATATGTATACACTGGATAGCAGCGACATAGTTCATAACCATACTTAAACCCCACCAAACCCGCCAACCCATTAAATTAAACCCGGATTGTGAAACCCGTATGATTTGGCTTGTAGAAAGCTATCCCTGGGAAATCCCCCATTTAGTTTTTTTTGATTTTGCCATAAAATCATTAAAACCTCCATTTACTTCGGGGATTTCCCAGCTAGCCAGCCACGTTTCTGAAAATTGAGGCGCCCCTTAGCTTGGATCATTGTTGCGGTCCCCCATCGCTTTCTGGTGACACCCCCTCTATATTTTGTCATCGCTCAACTGTCCAGTGACTGCGCAGTTCTTCCGGATTTCCTCACACTTGGCGAGCTCAGCGGCGGAGGGCCATGACAAATCCTCAGCGGGGTAGCGATGGTGGGTTCCCTCCGATTTTTGGCATGTTTCTTGATGTAGGGATTGGTCGGAACCATAGGGAAACAGCCAGATTTTTTTAAACATGTTGTTCCATGTTCTAAATGTAAATATATGTAAATATACAATGTATGTATACATATATAACTATATTATATATTATATATAATTACTGTATATGACTAATATATTATCTAGTGTGGGAATGTCCCGGGGACTTCACGGCGATGAGGATGATAATGATGATACTTGTCCTACTCATACATCATCAGAAAATAGTACATTGATGTAAATTGTAATTTATATAATATGATGTAACTAACCAACAAACTGGGAAAACAAGGATAATTCGCTGGCATTTTTTTTTGCCATGTTGATACCAATGCACGCACACAAAACACATAGGAATTAGGAATACTGCTCAACCAACATAAAATGGTTGATATCTTCACCACCCAACAAAAAAAGGAATGGTATTCACTGGCAGGCAACATTGTCTGTCTCAAATGCTAACCAGTCAACTGAAATACCGCTAGCACAGCGTCAGATTAAAATCTCCCCAAATGCTACTGCCATCTGTGGCAGACTTACCTACAATTGGATACAGTTGGAATCAATGGGGATATTATGATATTGGGGGTATTACGGTATAAATATGTGATATTTGGGGCATAAAATGGCATAAATATGACATATATGATAAATAGATATAAATAGATCATAAATAGACCCTGTGTCTCGCTGCGACTGCGATCAGGCATCCGCCCCATCAATCTTGTATACCATGGCTGATTTCGGACCCCGGCCACCCTGCGTTCCGTGTGGCAGGGATGCCGTGATGATTGAAACGGCTGCGCCATAGGAAATGGTGATGATCTGCTTCCGGGAAGAGACTGAGACTTCAATGCAATGGTTGGACACCCTGAATTGCGGACTTTGCATGTTTTTAAAGCAGGAAACTCTAGACTCTAGAATAATGCAAGCAAGTGCAGGGTATCATCAGGTTTACCACCCCAAGCGCCACCAATTCCAATATTGTGTTTTACAAGCCCAGCTGATAACTACCTGTCCAAAACAACACAGGCAGTGAACCTGACTCAAGAACCTAAATAACATGTTTTACGGCAACTCATATTAAGCGGCCATGCCGGGCTTCTCCCAAAGTGGAGGATTTACGTCCAATTATTTCATCGGCTCTTGACTGCACCCTCCACAAATTCGTGGGGAGTGATGACCAGTGGAACCATTTTTGCAGGACGAAGCCCTGTGACACATCGGTCATCTGTGGCTCTGACCGATGGCATCGATCAACAGGGGTCTCCGCCAGTCCTTAGCTGGGCAGTGATCAAGAAATCCAGGCAGTTTCGCAAAAAACATCGCAAAAGAATTGGTTTAGGGGATCTATGCCTATCTATTCATTTTTTCAGTGGATGTTTTTCAGGATGGGATTGGATGTGTGTGGAAAAACCTGGACAACTCTCTGGGGTGACTTGCTATGAAGGAAATGTGCTACTTCGTTGGGGTCGTCTTTCAAATTTAGGGCCTCTGGCAATCTGGAACCAAAAATCTAGCATGTTCACTTGATGTTCATCCTAATATTTTATAAGTTTTTTAATTTATGTTTTGTTTTCAATGGTCAGTTTCAATGGATTTGCATGGGTTCTCCAGATTTTCTTTGTCCCGTGGATTTTCCGCACTTTTCACTGTTCCAGGGTTCTTTCCAATCACCCATAGCCAAGGTCCCCTGCCCCGTCGCAGTACATGCCCACCTCAAGGGGCATCCGACATGTAAAGGCTTACATGGCTTACATCATGAAAAGAGAAAATTCCAATTCAATCACATAACATCACGTAAAACACCAGTCGTCTCAAGCACATGGGGAGTTGCCCACATGGACACAAAATTCAGCAAAGGTGCCATCTGGGTCATCTTGTGCAAGCGGTCCACTGCCCAATCGCCCAACAAACCCAACCTCGGGGCGAAACCGGGGATGTTGCATTTCTCGGGGGCTGTAAGAAGGTTGACGGCATAATGAATATCATGAAACGCATTGTGAATATAGATTCTGGATAAAACATACATAAAAAGAAAGCTGTGAACATGCATGAACGATGAACATTTAGAATGCAACCACATTATTGTAAACCCCAAATAGATAGAAAAACTGGAAACCTGAAAGTTATGGTAAAAACATCATCTATACCATACTGGAAATGCGTTTCTTCCCCATGGGGCCGCAAGAGAGACAGCTGGAACTTCGAGGATTTGGAGTGCTGCGCCCTCGATGGCTTGGTTTACAAACTTGGTTAACTATGGGGACTATGGGGGGGTATAATACTATTCATATAGGGTTGATAAACCAACAAACTTTTCACTGGGGGCACCTTGTTGATCAAGAACTGGTTCTAGGCAGCCTGCCATCTTAGATGCCTGGAGTTTCAAGCCCCTTTTTAGAAATCTTCGGGGATATCATGGTCCCATTTCTATGGTGGTGCTGGAAACCTCAGCCACAGCACTCCAGGCAGTTGGGTCCCGACGATTTCAGGATCACTGTGACGCCCTGCGACTGAGAGTCCCCATGGTTGACTAACGTTGATCTGACAGGGGTTAACAAAAAACAAACTATAACTAGGGCACTAGGGGGCACCACCATAAGTTGGATGTGTAAAGAATGTGTATCACACACACATTAATCATTATAATATATATATATATATATTATATTACATACATGTTTTTTTTTGATTTGGCACTGGTGCCATGACAATGACACCAATGCCTTACAAGAACGTGAGTTGATCACTGCAAGTCACTTGGAGTTGAAGACAACTCTGGGGGCATAGCCCCATCTTCAAACAAACTCAACTTTCCATGTTTTCTACTCATTTCCATCTTAAAATCGAATCAGATTCTACTCATTTCCATCTTTTTGGAGGCTCATCTTAAACCATTAACATCCATTAACTATAATTAATGTTGGTAAAACAATATTAAACACCACCCCCAAATTCACCATAGATAGGTGGTATGTTTACCATTCCCAGTCATGGGTGGTTTATGGTATTGTTTTACCCACATTACTCCATTAAGCCTCCAAGAATCATGGCAGAACATCCACCTCAAAGCCGAGCGCCTCAAGCTTGCGGCCCCCAGTGAGGTGAACAGTGTGGTGAGTGAGCCTGCGGTGGACTTCGCCCCATTGCTTGGAAGAAAAGTGGGAAAACGGAGGTTTTTCACCATGAAAAAAAACGATGGATATTGTTTGGATGCCCTAGTTTTGGGGGGATGTGCACGAATGAACCCAAGAATGGGCAGAACGGTTAAAACTCTTGAAAAAAAACGAGGTGAATAGCATTGTTTAAAATACTAGAGGAGGAAAACAACGTCTCCAGTTTCCAGAATGGGAGGGTCCTGTAGCCACCATCGTGCATACAAATTTAGAAATGATGCAGAAAACTTAGAAAGTAGATCGTAGACCAGCATCAAAAGAGTGGTTGTAACATGTCTACTATCTATTCAGGGACCGGAATTGTCAGAATGACCTTGACAGATCATGCTGGATCATTTTCCATGACGCATTGGCAGCAGCTTTCTAGCCCGCAAGGATGGAACCCTAATCATCCCAAAGCACTTGAAATCACCAGGCAATCCGCTAAGGCTGATGTGACCCGGCCGGCCTTTTCACGGTGTCCTGGATGTACTCCAACCTCTGCTTCGAGCAAAACCACATCCCTGAAAGAAAGTATATATCCTCTAGTAAATTGATAGTTTGCTATGGACATTTTCCATCTTTGAATATTTCAAATAGGTAAGGAATGGTAACAATCTATATGTTAGATGACCAAAAGGTAGCAACTTGATGTAATTTAGGATCCTCATCCAGATATCCAAGAAAATATGTTCCGTTCATGTTTGAGCTACCAAACAGCAAAGAGTTTGAACTCACTGTAATCATTACGACACCTACTGGTCTTTCATTTCAGGCTATTACGTAGCAATAGCCTCCATGCCCCAAAACCATACGATTGGAATCGATTGGAAGATTTGGGCCACCCACAAGCCGAAAGATTCCTCACCAGGGCTTTTGACCCAACTGGGTTTCCTGGCTTACCATACATCACCATGAGAAAGGTGACGTCACCAATCCCAAAACGACTGTTCTGAACAATGCTCACCTGGACCCACTGGTGGAACTGACTGGGGAATATTATGAAATGGTATTATCTGGATACTCGATATTGATGGGTATTGGATATTGGAATCATAGTAGTCATATTACCCAAACAAAAACATGCACACAGAGAGAGAGAGATATATATATAAATTGGAATCATCATCTCAAGGTGCCCCTTAATATATGATTACTGATGTCTGTTCTGGGCCGCCCTTTATAACCAAAATCTACCCTCTGGTAAACTATCATAATAACTGCGGAAAATCACATTTTTTAATGGTAAATCATCTACAAATGTTTCATGTTCCAGAGCTATGTTAATTTAGTAGAACCATCCAATACAAGTATGTTTAAATATGTTTAAGCTTTTATATGGACTGATTTACTGCGCCATCCTTTGGCCATGCGGAAACTGCGCATGGATCTCGGCTTCGGAGCTTGGCCATGGATTAGTGATTAATTCGTCAAGTAAATATCAGGCCCCTTGGGTAAGGTTTGGTACCGTTCTTTCTGTACATGCAAATAGGGGCATTAGATTCATGTGTACAGTACATATTCCAAATTGCTGTATGTTTGTTGCGTGTGCTGTTTCTACAGGCAATCCAAGAGTATGGTGTCATTCTTTGTTTGTTTACTGTGCAAGTTGTGAAGTAACTCCCACACTCAGCCATGGTTTCGAGGAGGGTACTTAATATCAGGGGCATCCCAGTTTCGATGACGATTCCCCTTGCCGACATTTTTTTCGCACGAGAAAACTATGGTCGGTCCACATCTACAGTTCAAACAACTTGGAGGAAATATCCGCATGATATGACCATTTGATCTGTACATCCACCATTTTAGATGCTACATCCCCCATTTTTTCATGGCCAGAAACCATGGTAAACTCCTCAGTTTCCCCATGGTAAACTCCATTCGATCGGCGCAAACCCCACCTTGGAGCGATCCGAGCTGGCGTGCACGGACCTGCGCAGCGATGGCTCTTGATCTACGATTGATATTTTTTTAAATGGGGCTGATGTTGCCATATAGACTTATGATATTTTTTTTAGAACATGTGAATTTACAGATCTTATATATATATATGATTATATATGCATATATTATATGCATATATATATATATATATATCGTCATAGGTGATATTTTCCTGAACTTATAGAATGTCAACTGCTGTTGATTTAGAATGGGCTGATGCAAGAATTCCCGAGCTGGGGAGCCGTGCCAATATTCCCAAGGATCACCAAAATCAGCAAGCTCGTACATTGGCCTCAGCACCAATGTGGAAATCTCAAGGGAAAAATCAAATATCCATGGCCAATATATATATATATAGCATAGCCATATAATGCCATATAGCCATGCTGGCTCTTTGATTGTAGTTGAACTCGTTGAATGTTGTGAGCTACTTTCTCGAAGCCACTGGCTATATCAAATCATATTACATCCAATGAATCATCCCCATGAAATAACGACATATTGCTGGTTACCCTGTGGCAATTTGACAGTTTGCTATGGAAAATGGCCCATAGTGCAGATGATTTTCATTGATTTTCCCAGCGAAAAATACCTCCATTTGTCGGGGATTTCTCAGCTAGCCATGCTTGATGACAAACCCAGGTACTTCTAGGATCATCCCACGGCTCGTTTTTGTGGCTACAAACCCTGGTGATCACACGTCCCTATTTCGTGGCTTATCCATGGTTATCCCATTTATAAATGGCTTATAACTTAAAACCTCAGCTATTCATAAACCAGTTGGACCATGGCATCCTACCCCGCGCCAGCTGGCACTGCACCTTTTCGTCGCACTGCCTACGTCCTCCCGTGGCTCGCCACCATCTCCTGTGACGTGATGCGGGGTCTCACTGAGGTGGCATCCTCTTGAAGATAGATACCCGATACCCTATGGATTCCCTATGGTAATTTAACATAGACCCTGAAAATAACATTTTTTTGTGGAAACTAATCTTCCAATCCCTATCTGGCAGGGTCGAACTGTTAATCTACTGGAGGGATACTGGAGGGTAGAATTACTGCAAATAAATGTGGACCCTATAAGAACTCTCAAAAAACTTAGACACACCGCAGATTTTCAACAAAAAAGAACTGGATCCATTCAAAGAACGAACAATCACCACTTTGGCCATAGAACCACCTAAAATCCATATTTTTAAGACCATAGAAACCATATAGAAACCGTAAAAACCACAGAATCCGGGGCGCCTGCCACCTGGGTTTCCGCTTCTCCAGCTCGGGTCGTGGCAGCTGCGAAGGATCCGCCAGCAAGCGCGCCAGGTGACGCGATACCTGGACATGGAAAAATTGATTGAAATGGTGGGGATCACCATGAAAAATGGTGATTTAATGGGATATTAAATGGGATCATATCAACTACGAAGTGATTGATAATCAACAACAGGAATATGTTTATGAAATGATGATTGAATGGGATATTCAATGGGATATTAATGGGATAATATCAAATAATTACTGAGGATGGTTGTGAAATCCTGCACCAGTTGGTAACCACCAAGTAACTATGATACATTGTAAATAATGGAATTATAATGAAATAAACCATTTACTAACTGGTGCAGGAAGTCTTCCATCTACAGTATCATAGGTTAATTGCAAAGTAATTCCCATATTTATCCAATAATCAAATGTTATCTATATTTAGCCATAATATGTGATTATTGGGTATTGGATTATATGCATATATATATATGTATATACACACACGATTAGAGTTGGATATTGTAGGCCAACTGGATAATTGGATGATATATATATATATATATGTGTGTGTCGCGTGTGTATGTGTATATATATATAGTTATATGTATACTTATATATATATATAGTGATCTATATATATATATAGTTGTATTTACATATAGTTATATATATATATATATAGTTGTATGCATATACCTATAGTTATATAATATAGATATGTAGTTATATATACATATAGTCATACATAGTTAATATATATATATTATTAATATTTATATAGTTATATATATATATAGATAGTTATATATGTATGTACACATGCGCAAACCCTTTTTCCCAAGTGGGTCAAAGGGGGATTATTCACATTTAATTGAAAACATCACATGCAAACACAATGAACATCTAATATCAGTTTTCATTCATTAGACCCATTGGATTTTTGATTAAAAAAAGGGGATCATTGGAAACATTAGCTCACTGGGAACCAACTATGACGAAATGGTGATAACGTGGGAATATTTATATAGTGGTTTCATTTGGATATTGTGACTGCATTTGTCTTTAAAAAATAAATCTGTATATTATATATATATATTATATACGTTTATACATATTATATTAATCAAGTAATCATCATCCAGGATACCGCTAAACAGGGGTCAACAAACATGCCTGAACATTTGTTCAACTCATGTCATTTTGCAAGAGGGGAAAAACACAAATATATTTGCATGTGCATAAATAAATAAATATATATATACACGTGCATATTTGAACAACATTTATTTAGATATGCAACACACACATACATATACATATATATATATAATATACCATATAAACATGTAGTCATTTCATATATATCATTGTTATTCATTCAGTATTTCCATCACCGTAGCTACAACGTTCTATTTTTTATATAAAACACCTCCGCCTTGATCTCGCCTTGATCTCGGCCTCGCTGCAGAAATCTGCCGTGACCGCGGGCGTGGCTTCCGTGGAATCCACCTGAAAGATAGGAAAAACTGTATCAACTTTGGCTTGACCAACGAAAATAAAGTAAAGATCTATTTTAATAAATAAATATAGTCTATATATATATATATTGGATTCATAATCAATTGATGATAAACAAGTCAAGCTATTTCGTTGATTGTTCTAATGGATGGTTACAAATTGGGTATCATGGGGTTGTAAACCAACTGATACCTGGGGCCTGCCAGGGCTATGCTTCAAGAGACTGCCCAAAAATCAAGGATTGGGTGGCGGTAGAAGAGTGACCTCTGGAACTTCATCAATGCGGATGAAAGTGACATCATGCGCGTAGAAAAACAAAAACAAAAACAACTAAGGATACTCATCAGCGACGCCAATGCTGGTTTGTGGTGACAAGTCATCCTTCGAACTGTTGATGGAACTCCAGCAACATCTCTGGTGATATGTCATTTACAAATCGGATCCGAATAGATCATGTTCTACAGTGTATATGTATAACCGTCACATGTTTGGTAAATGTGTACAAATCACATACAGTAATGTATCAAACTATAACATGTCCTTTCGCTCTGGTGATCTGAACCATCGTGTTGCGTATATTACAGATTGGCACATGGTTCAGAGACCTTGCTATACATGGCAACGAACTGCAAGCAAAAGGAATCAAGAAGGCAAAACACCATAGTGGCTAGCTGCTACAGTAACCCCTTACTGAGCGGGCTGCTTATCACAGTGAATCACTGCTTCGACATGCTTTGACTTTCTTTGGCACCATGCCGTGCACTGGCAGGCATTGCTGGTGGTGCAAAAGGGTTAAAATGCATCGAGAAGTCGAGGCCTCTTCTCTGATGACATCAATGTGAGGGTGAAGCAACACTGCTTAAATGCTTAAATTTGTCGTGTGTTGATGCCGCACACACTGTATTAACATGTATAACTATATATATATATGTGTGTGTGTGTTATATGAGAGTTTGCAAACACAAATGCACTTACAAATCCGGAGACTACAACACAATCTAATTAACATGACGAAAGATGTGCTTATGAAGTTCTTCTTGAAGTTTATTTCCCGTGCATGAATGTCAGCCTCGGGCGTCAGGCTAGCAATCAGCTTCTGGCGACCTACAGGGCTTCGGGTCGGGCCCAACATTGTCATTGGGTTGGATTAAGGGGAGGGAACAATTTTCACTCAAGCCAGTTTCTGGGACATATGGCCCTGACAAACTGTGCGGAAGCCTGTGTAATCCTGAAAAAATTGGGTTTAGGTTCCAGCAGATTTCAACATCCATCTACTGCAGCCAGTTGAACAGCTCAAGTTCTGGTAAGAGTATGCCGCGGTACCTTCGATATCCCGGTTCACTAGCAAAATGCATGGACTATAGCCCTCTCCAGTGGCTACAAATCCAAACAACGTAAAGCTGGCCTTGACGTCTAAAACCACCAAGAGATACCAAGAGCATGTACTTTCGCATAGTTTGGCGTTCCACTTGGGTTTGAAGAGGTGAAGATTTTCGTACAACTTGGTGACCAGCCTCGAGTAGGAAGGCTGGCCGCGAAGTGACGAAAGCACTGCGCAGCAGCTTCGGTGGGGTCCATCTTGTCCTGCACACGGCTGGGGCCATCCTGCCCAACAAGGTAAGTGCCCTCTTTTAATCTAATATCAAGAGGTAAATCATACTCAGTACTAATTTAATGATGGGCCATTTCCCATGGTGATGTTACATGACCAAAACACGATGAACATTCAACCCCAGGAGAGGAAAAAGAAAAAACATGAAAAAACGACTATTGGGGCTGTAATCCCCAACATAATGACAGATTTCCATAGATTTCCATTATACAATATTGTATAGTAAGCCTCTATTAATAAACTGGCGTGGAATCCTGAGTCAATACCAATCACGCTGATGGCAAGTCGTGCAGAATCGGCCTGCTCGGCCGAAGCAATTTGTGACCGCCAGCCTTCTGTACCTGCGCTCGAAACGGCCGAGGCACAGGGTGGGAAAGGGTAAGGATCAACAACCTAGAACGAAATAGACTGTGCTGCAACATATAGAACTTTCCTACAATATGGGTACCCACAATCATCCATTTTAAGAGGATGTTCCATTATTGATGTAAAAAAGAAACACATCCAGTCGCACGCAACAAAGGAGCCTGGATGTTGCGGGCCCTATTGCAACTAACAATGCCGTACTGGATGAACAGGTTTCCAACTAAAACTACTGCACCCAAAACCTAATCCTCATAATCCTCTTTCCATTGCATTGGGAGGGGACGTAATAATATTTTCGGAGATTTGGTAACATCTACCACTGCATTGCGAGAAGGAACCAAACTTCATCTTTCGATGGCGCGCACAGGATCAAAAACTGCTCATGAAACATCAATCTTAAGCCACATATATCCAATATGTTTGCAAACATGGTCATTGATGTCATTGGGATCTGCTGCAGCCAAACATGTTTCTATGATTTCTATGTTTCAAAACTGGAGACCTTGCAAGGAGGGTAATTGCCAGAACATTGTGGACCCAATGAGATTCACCTGCACACCCTTGAACAGAACATCACGGTCTCCCAAAAATGGCGTTAAAAGCTGATGTTCCTTCTGTAAAATGGAAAGTTGTTGTGGCTCATCGTTTAGATTTCTCCGTGAAGTTCCCAGCACCAGTGCTAAAGTCGTCTAAACTTAAACACAAAATGGTGCCCCAAATCCTTAGCTACATTGGTGAACATAACTACTGTAGCTTAACTATATGGTGTATGCAAGATATATCATGTTATATCGAACTATTATTAGGTATATAATGTTTTTTGTTTAATAAATAACTAACTTACAACAAATAAATCTATTGCTTACTATAGCTTTGAATTGTAATTGTGCACCAACGAACAGCAGTACACATATGTATAGATAGCACTTTAACATTATATAATATATCACATCTATTTTTCAACAAAATAAATAGATCATGGACGATAATGGGCTTTTTAGAGCATTCTACAACAACAAACGGTTTCTGTTTAAAGCCACCCTGCATCCATTTCACCCAAAAAAACAAAAGCTTGGCCGTCCAAGATACCGAAAGTGGCACGAGACATGCAGCCATATAACTGTTCTAGCTGATCCTGGTTCAACTCCTAGAGTCACATCGAACTCGATGGGTGCTGAGAAAAGTCTTTCTGAACGACCTTGGATAAAGACCGATGGGATTTTAACAAAGGGCAACAAGAATGGAAAGTTCACCATAGGGAATTTTTGTGGGGGTATAAAGATATATAAATATAAAGGGTTGGGTGGCAGCTGGTCGGTTAACTGTTGGCTAAAAATAAACCAACAAATAGAACTGGTGAGCACCACCCTGAAGTGGTTGCATTCAAATGGATTGGACTTGGGCTTGGATGAAGTTTGATAGAGTTTTGAGTTTGATGATTGATGATTAGTTTTGATCATTGGATTGGATGATTTGGATGATTGCTATGATCAGCGATTGGCAACTGTGACACGATCAGCTCCTTGACGGCTGTCGGATCAGTTTGCCCTCCATAGCGCTTTCGAATGAACACCTCAGGGCTTTTGCAGATCTCCACAGGCTGAGTCCAGGAGACCTGGCTTGACAAAGTTCTGTCCAAACATATCCAAATATATCAAACAATTCTCCGGTTTGCCCTCAAATCGATCCAACTCTCCTGTGTTGTCATCACTTTCCATGTCCAAAAAATGGGGTATACAGAAATTCCATGAAATTCCACGCCACTCTCATATAATTTAGCTACCCCCAGCCATCTGGCGCCCATCGATCGCTGCCACGTAGCGTTGCCATCGTTGCGACCCTTCGAGGAACTGCCCAGGGCTTCGTAGGTCGTCAGCCGAATCTCGGGATCGCTGCAGCCCTGCAACCTGTAGGCCCGGCGCACAAAATGCCATCGAAGCCATCGTTCATGTCATCCATGTCATCAATCATCACCATAATATACATTATGTATATATATATATACATACATATATCATCTAGTATATCTATGTCATAATCAATGGTCATCAACCATAATCTACCTCATCTACCACACATCTACCACACATCTACCATCATCTACCATCATCTACCATCATCATCATCTACCATCATCTACCATGACTCATCAATCACAAATCAATCAGCAGCTAATGCATCAGGAGCTGCCACCTTAAAGTTTGGAGCTACTCTTAACCGTCATCTTGACGACCAAATTCCAGCAATCAATAGGTATCATCCGCAAATTTGACATAGACCCGACGCCATGAGTTGGGGGGTCTATATAAGACCACGGCAGCCCCTATATATCGTAGTGAGGATCTCAGGGTCCAACAACGTTGGAGCAAATTGCTGGAAACATGGAAGATTTTTCCCTTTGAATCAGTAGAAATCGATGGAGAAGGTGAACTGTTGACCTATTTTGGATGCCCCCTTTTGCTTATGAATTTCCATCATGGATAAACCCTACCGGTAGGTTTTGGCTACCTGTTTCAGGCCCCTTCCATGGTTTTTCTCCAGGTGCTTGTAGAGATAGGACTTGGCGACATCGCAGCCCAGCAATGCCATGTGTCCCAAGCAATTCACGCAAACCCTGCCATGAAATGAGCGATGTGTTTGCCAATTTGGTTTGTGGTACTTGGTGTATGTTGATCCGTGATATGGCTAATTCGTATAGTACGTATTACACATATCGGGAAAAATGACATTGTTGATAGATGGTATCCTTGATATACCCTCTGGTAAACTCACATAACTATGGAACATCATGTTTAATAGATAAATCAACTATTTCTATGATTCTATGGCCATTTTCAATAGCCAGAGGAGATGGCAGGTGATCCTCCCCATCTCCATCCATCTCCGACCTTCGCAATTGACATTGCCCAGCTTGGGGATTCTGCGCGTCCATCCCTTCAAAAGTCCTCGGGCAGGTCAGCAACTTTACCGTGAAAAGTACAAGGCTTCATCAAGAAGTCATTTAGATATTAATTAGTGTCAATTGAACCTCGAATCCACGTGCCTGTAAAAATTGCACCAAGTTTTTCTCTCGGAAACTTGCTGACTGAAACTGTCAGCAAAGGCCTGTTGGGTACGGGTCAAAAGTAGAGTGGCCCCAACTGCAGCAACTTTCAACAACAAAAATACACCAAATATGTTCAAACATCCAAGAGCTGGACGAGTCTAACCGCTTGAACACCCTGTCTGAAATTGGGAGGATGCCCACTGACCCCTGCTAATCACGGGGCCAACCACATGTCAAATTTTGGATAATTTCATGGCAACCCATGGAAGACATACCCGCTTCAAAGCCAATGCCCTGGCGACCCAGGCACTTGATGGTCGCATGCGTCAACTCCGTGGAAGCTTCACCTGAAACCGATATCCCCATCTTGGACCCCAAGATCTGGACACTATGGAGATTGTCAGTTGAATTTCGAATGGCGAAACGTCTTTAATATTAGACGTAGCACTAGGCTGATATAAACCATCAATCCATATATATATATATATAAGTTTCCAAGAAGTCATGGGGGTAGCCACCATTTATCATTATAGGAGTTTCAATGAAATAAACCATCCAGCGATAAAGGGCTACCTCCATGACCACTATGGAAACCTTAACTGAGCTTCCAGCGCGGCATGGCGCCGTTCCTGGACGGCTCGGTTCCAAAAATTAGGGCCCTGGCTTAATGGCAGAACATGTTTTTTTTTTTTTATGGTAAAATCATGGATGGATCATAAATTACACGAAATAATGGCAGAATAAAATAATTGTGATCTTAACTTCTTAATTGTTGATTAATATCTAATCTAATCAACCATGATGGAGATTCAAATAACCTATGATTTATATTATGTATCTAAGAATTTTGCTGAACAACGGGGCCCCAAAACATCCATGACCCAAACCCAAGTGTCAGCACAGAAATACCATGAGTTGGGGGCCCCATTCTCCAACGTTGCCAAGACTCTGAAACAGCAAGGACAACAGATGTAGGGCCTGGCCACGAAACCATCATCGTGGATGTCGAAGTGCCACCCCCTTAATTTGTTCACTTCCCCAATAGAGGCTTGATAAGCGCCATTCATAGGGGATGATGGGGGTTAATGACCCAGCCGCCTGCGTCCGCATGTCCAAGTTAGGGTCCTCGAGTCTGCGAAACAGCAACCGGAAGCTGGTGTTCCTTGCCTTGCAGCTTTCGGTGCATGATTTGGTGCAAGATGGCTAGTTCCGCCCATCCGGTCTTGTCAATCATTACTGAATCATTGCTGAAACCTCTCTCTCTCATACATATACATATAAATATATATATATATATATATTGTATAACATTAAATAGCACACGTTCACTAGGAATCATGTAATTAGCAACAGCAATTATATATGTAATTATAACTCATATATGGCGGTGGAATGCTGAAGGGGCTGACGACGCTTCTGCCTGCTGCTTTTATCAAACCGTTTCAAGCACCCGTTACTGGTGCGACAGTGGAAACCTGCAAACATGCTTGGACAAAAAAAAGGTGGAAAGCTATATAATTATATATATATAAAAACACCAAATTTATCTAGCTCTAGCTCCAGCTGAACTAGAACAACTCACCAATCTGAAGCGTCTGGTCATTTAGGAACGATTTCCACAATTGTACTATCTGTGAAATGTGCACACTCAGGTGAAGACACGTTGATGCAATCCATTTAGCACCGACAGTTTTGCAAGTTAGAACTAGGACCACATCATTGATCTGTGAGTCATGTGACATCCTCACGATAGTGTGGGGCTCAGGCGTTCAGAGAAAAGTCATGCTGTGCTCGTGCCACTGGGAGCTGCCCGCTCTCAGTGGTAGCGGAGCCACTTCGGTTCTGCTGACAGTTGGCCATGGCAAGCTCTGAAGAGAAGAGCCACCGCGTTGAGACCTTCGATGGTTCGGATCCCAGTTTGTACAGGAGATGGAAGCGGCGAGCCCAGCTCATGCTGGCGAGCTTGCCGACCAATGTACCAGAAGCCAAGCATGGCCCTCGGCTGATGGAGTTCATCAAAGGGGAGGCAGAAGCCTTACTAGAGAGCATCCCCGTTGAAGAGCTCACCAAGTCGGGGGGGGACAAGAAGATCTGGCAAGCGCTGGATGACAAGTATGGACCACAACCACGTGATCTCATGCAACAGGCCTTGAAGGGGTACTTCTATGAACTCCAGGTCAAGCAGTCGGAGAGCTACACACAGTTCCTGGCTCGGTATGATGCAGCCAGTCGGAAGCTCAAGGAGCAGGGCGTTGAGTTGCCAGCACCGGTTGCAGGCTACATGCTGCTGAAGAAGCTTCGACTGGATGCGACACAGGAGAGCATGGTGATGACACATAGCCAAGGGAGCATGGACTTTGAGGAGATTGTCAAAGCAGTGAGAGGAATTTTTCCAGAAGGAAAGGGGCCGGTGAAGTCCAAGGAAGCCTTCCTAGCTGGTGGAACGGACACCATGACTGAAGAGATGGTGATGGTGGATGAAGAGCAGGAACTGAACGACGCGGCGGAGATGATGGCTGCCGAGTTTCAAGTGTCCGGAGCTCAAGACGAAGAAGAGGTACTCGAGACCTTTGAGAGCTATGCGGAGATCAGAAAGAAGTTGAGGGATCAACGAACGAACAGGGGCTTTGGGGGTGGCACAAGAGGCACTGGAGGACCAACACAATGGAAGTTGCAGGGCACCGTACGTGGACGGCTTGAAATGCTCAAGCAAAGGACGTCCTGTCACCATTGTCAGGCAAAAGGGCACTGGAAGAGAGAGTGTCCACTTCTCAAGAGCAAGACCAACTCGAGTGCTTCTACCTCCAAAGGCGTGAATGACACCAATGCGGTGGAAATCGTGGGCCACGATGTCATGCTGGCCGAAGATGTGTGGCGTTTGTTTGAGTTGCAGAATGACGAGGCAGACAGTGGCACTACAGCATGGAGCCCCACACATGAGCCGAGCCGTGACGTCCTAGTGACTGAAGTTTTTGCACAGGATGGTGCACCTACTGGCCGCGAAACGCAGCCAGACAGCACCCTAGGAGAATGCGCTGTACCTGACACGGCATGCCGCCGTACGCTTGTTGGAGCATACACGCTGCAGCTGATTGAGCAGACTCTTAGGAAGTTTGGCTTGAAGGTCTTGAGGCGTAAGGAGGTGTCTGAGTTTAGATTTGGGAATTCGGAAACCGTGGTGGCTGAAGAATCTGCCATCATCCCAGCGTGCATAGGTGACCATCGATTTTTGATCCGTGCTTCCATTTTGGAAACACAAGGTAGGTGCACCCCACTTCTCCTGAGCAAGGAACTGTTGAAGCAATTGAATTGTGTTTTGGATCTTGTGAATGATCGGGTTCTTTTGTTTGGTCGTTGGATCTCTTTGATGGAAACTGAGAAGGGTCACTATGGTTTGAGATGTTTTGATTTTGGTAGTGAATGTTTTAGTAGTGACGAGAAAATTCGGATCGCAGCCAACATGTCCAAAGAGTACCACATTGATGAGCTGGAGCACAACCTTGGCTCAGAGAAAATCAGCGACAACCAGCCGATCCTGCGCAGCTAGATGGCGCCCAAGAACAACATGGCGAATCCGGAGCTGTGCAAGATGTTGGAGAACCTTCAACGTCACGATCAACCACAGGGCAACATGGAGTGGCGGCACTCGGATCGAGAGCTGGACCAAATGCCAGACATGGACGAAGATGGGAAGAACTTACCAGTGGAAGGTCAGACGATCATCCGCGACGGCAAGTATGGGAAGAGCAAGCAGGCGCTGGCGGTGGAGGAGATCTACATTCAGGACAAGAACTATGTCAACTGGATTCGTCAACACATCCAGACAACCAGCTCCATCGAGATGCAGCGGCTGAAGGTCTATGTGGTGACACGAGATCAAGCCAAGAGAGAGCGGCTGGAGCGACACCTGGGGAATCGTCCCGGCATGAATGTGATGCACACAGCGAAAGCCAAGGCCAATCCCATGAGTCGTGTGCGAGCACGCGAGACGGACGAGGTGGAGAACATGGAATGGCGCTATGTCATGACTCAGGGAGTGGGCAGAGAGCTGCTCATCATGGAGAGTGTGGACGGCATGCCAGTCCGAATGGTGAACCCAGCACAGTCGGCAGTGACAGAAGAGGAAAAGAACATGATCGAGGAGATGAAGGAGACGCTGGAGCTCTTCCATCCGACCACAACGAGTCCAGTGCGACACGGGTGAACTCTGAGCCGGGTGAACATGTCATGTCCAAAAAGAGCAAAGTGAGGCTCAAAAAAGATGTTGACAGTTGGTGTGTTCGTCATGGTGTTGAGGGTTGTTGTGATGTTGGTTTGAATGGTGATGATCACAACGGGTTGGAACCTCATGATCTCTTTGTTGTGGACATTCAAAGACCGGTAGATTTTGCTGAGGTGTTTTCGCCGCCCAGAATTTTGCCTGTAGCAGAAAAAAGAGGGCTTAAAGGCCTTCGGTCATATGATTTGAGTTCTGGTTGGAACTTCCTGGATGCGGAGTGTCGCAGGAAGTGTTTGGAAGACATTGAAAAATATAAACCAGAACTGGTGACGGTTTGTCCACCGTGTGGGCCATTTTCACCCCTGCAGGCGTGTAGCCTGAGGCGGCAAGACCCCGAGCAGAGAGCACGCAAGCTTGCTGAAGGGCGTGTGCTGCTAGGATTTGCCATGCAGGTTTGTATGACTCAACACAAAGGGGGCAGAAAATTCCTGTTTGAACATCCCCAAAATGCTGCCAGTTGGACTGAAGCAGTGGTTGAGGAAGTCAGACAGCAAGAAGGGGTGCATGAGATCACGTTTGATCAGTGTCAATATGGCCTTAAGGACCCACAAAATCACAAGTTGTTTCGGAAAAGAACTCGGGTTTTGACCAACTGTGAACACATGAAGGGTCTCCAAAACATGTGCAGTCAAGATCATGATCACCAAAGGGTTGAAGGTCAAACTCAGGTTGGTGGTCGGTGGGTGAACAGGTCTCGCTGTGCACAGGTTTACCCCAAAAGACTTGTTGATAAAATTGTTGGATGTTTTCTTCAGTACAAAAGGCAAAAGGCGCATGAGGTTTTGGCTGTTGAAGCGTTGCATGAGGACAGGACTGACTTGGAGAGAAGTGTGAGACGTTGTCATGTCAACCTTGGTCATCCCTCCAAAGAAAGGTTTCTCCACATGTTGAAAAGTGCGAAAGCCAGTAATCGGGCCATGGAGATTGCAAAAAAGTTGAAATGCAGCATTTGCGAGAGTCACAAGCCATATCCCAGTCATGCGGTTTCCAAACATAAGAGGGCTGAAGGGTTCAACCAGCAACTCAACATGAACACCTTTGAAGTCGAGATTTTTCAGAAGAAGAGACTCAAGATGTTGAACCTGTTTTGTGAAGGGACCGGACTCCAAATCTGTACGCCCTTATGGAAGGGAGCCACTGCCAAAGAAGTCAGGGGGGCGTACCGTAAGTACTGGAAGCGATGGGCTGGTAACCCTGTCAAAGTGTTTACGGATGGGGGGACCGAGTTTGATTCTGTTGTGCAACAAGGGTTTGAGGACGATGGTGTTTATGTTGAAAAAACTGCGGCTTATAGTCCTTGGCAAGCTGGTTATGTTGAAAGGCATGGAGGTATTTGGAAAAATGTTTTTGCTAAGGCCTTTGATGGTGCTCAGCCCCAAAACAAAAAAGAAGTGAACGAGTTAATTGACAATGTTAATGTTGCAAAAAATTCGATGATGCGTAAACATGGTTTTGCCCCGGTTCAACATGTGTTTGGTTGTGATTTGCGTCTTCCCTTGTCTCTTACTGATGACATTCCCAATGTACCAGGAAATTCTGGCGTGATCCATGGGGATGAAACACTTGTCCGTGCGAATCAAATCCGGCTCGAAGCACGTAAAGCGATGGTTGAGATGGATGATGATTCTAAAGTAAGGAGGGCACTTGAACACCGTTCTAGAGTGATGCGGTCACAAGAACTGCGTGTAGGTGATTTTGTTTACTACTGGCGTAGGTACATTACAGATGGTAGGCCTGGAATGTGGAGAGGACCAGCTCGAGTGATTGGATTCTATGATGGGAGGTCCAAGGTCTGGATATCCATTGGCAACAAGGTTCTCAGATGTGCCCCAGAGCAACTGCGACGATTGACTGATGATCAGGAAGCAGCTCTGAGATTTGTGACAACGGACATGTTAGCCACCAAGAGAGCACTGACAGATCGCGGTGCACATACCTTCACTGACATAAGCCAGGAGGAGCACCCACAACATGATGCTCCTCTACCTGAACATGAGAAACCATCTATGGTGGAGGAACCAGCACAGAAAAGGGTTCGGGTGGAGGAAACTGCAGATGGCGATGAAAACTTAGAGGTGGCACCAGAAGGGATGCCAGATGAACTGGATGAGTCAGAGACGTACACTCCGTCCCTTGGGGAAGAGTTTGCACCAAGTACGCGCAGTGGAGAAACTGGACAAGGATTGGTGGAAGCATCAGTAGCAAATCCACTGGAAACGACAGCAGGTGCAACAGAGAGAAGCTCAGGGTCTTATGGGCCAATTCGGCATCAGAGAAATCATGGAGCTGAAGGCACACATCATCACAGCACTGCACTTCAAGAGGCACTGCACAGAAGTACTGAATTTTTGGATATTGGGTCAACTAGGGTGGCCAGAACTCCGTACTCACCACCTCCTGGAAGCAACGCAGAGGCAACCTCTGAGGTCACGATTTCGGTTCCTGAGCCGACTGATGCCTTTGAATCCTTTTTGGTTCATCAGGAAGGACACAAGAGAGACAGTGAACTGCGAGATAGACAGATTGAGGAGCATGAATGGGAACAGGTGATACAAGGTAAAAGAAAGGAGTTTGACAAGCTGATCAAAACTGGAGCCATCAGGATCCACACAGGACGAGAAGCTCAGCAGATCATGCAGAGTGTTCCCAAAGAACGTTTCATTGACAGTAGGTTTGTCAAAACACGAAGGGCATCACCGGACAATCCTGGTCAGACTGAAATCAAGTGCAGATGGGTGCTCAAAGGGTTTCAAGATCCTGACATACTGGAGTTACAACGACAGTCACCAACTCTATCAGCTGACTCCTTGATGGTGACATTACAACTCATAGCGTCCCTAAAATGGGAACTAATGATCATGGACATAGAAGGTGCGTTTCTTCAAGGTGAGCCGCTGCAGAGAAAACAAGGAAAAATATATGCAAAGATACCCAAAGAAGGTATTCCGGGCGTAGGAGAAGACTCAGTGATTGAATTATGTAAATGTGTTTATGGTCTCATGGATGCACCTAGGAAATGGTGGGAGAGCATCACGTCCACTCTGGTTTCGTTGGGCATGAAACAAAGCAATCTTGATCCTTGTACCTTCTTTTGGCATGGTAATGGTAAGGAACATGAGCGTCATTTGCAAGGGGTTGTGTCTCTTCATGTTGATGACATGGTTTGTGGTGGAACGGATGAATTCAGAATGTTGATTTTGGAACCTCTTCGACAAAAATACCCTTTTAAACACTGGAAACGAGGCAAGGGTGAGTTTTTGGGCCGCTGGTTGGAACAGAGTCAAGATGGGTCAATTGTTTGCTGCCAAGAGGAATACGCTAGCAAGGTTCAAACTGTTTTTATTCCCAAAGAGAGAAGAAAACAGAGAGACGATCAACTGTCACCGAGTGAACTGCAAAAGTTTCGTGGGGTCATTGGGGCAGCCAACTGGCTCGCTGGTAGCACTCGTCCCGATATCTGTGCATGGACATCCTTGCTTCAGCAGCGCACGAGCAAGGCTACAGTTGCTGACCTCATCGAGGCGAATCAGTTGGTGGCTCGCATTCGCGACAAGAAGCACACCAGACTGAAGATCAAGAGCATTCCACTTGATCAAGCTGTCGTGGCTGTAACGAGTGATGCAAGCTGGGCCAATTGCTCTGACCTACATAGCCAGGCAGCCTACATGGTGATGATATCTCATCAAGATGTCTCCAACGACAAGTGGGCAGATGTCTCTCCGCTTCGATGGAAGTCTTGGAAGTTAGATCGGAGAACCCAGTCTACCCTTGGAGCTGAGTTGATGGCTCTATCAAGAGCACTGGCAGAAGGAGACTGGATCAGATCTTTGCTTGCGGAGGCGAGACAGCCTGACTATCAACTTCAAAAAGATCGAGAGCACCGGCAACAACTTGCTATGATTGCGGTGACAGACAACAAGCCGATCTATGATCACTGTCATGGTGATGGAGTAGTCGTCCGAGACAAAAGGATGGCGATCGATATGCTGGTCGTGAGAGCCGATTTGAAGTCTCAAGGAATCAGTCTGCGATGGGTTGACACCAGACAGATGGTGGTGGACTCGCTGACAAAGATTGGTGCGAATCCGGATTTTCTTTATTTTGTTCTTCGCGTTGGTCGTTTCATTTGTGTTGCTGAAAATGTTTCTTTACAGTTGAAAGCTCAGGAGAAAGAACAAAAACGTGCACTTCACTCTTCTAAGAAGGGGTGTGTGAAATGTGCACACTCAGGTGAAGACACGTTGATGCAATCCATTTAGCACCGACAGTTTTGCAAGTTAGAACTAGGACCACATCATTGATCTGTGAGTCATGTGACATCCTCACGATAGTGTGGGGCTCAGGCGTTCAGAGAAAAGTCATGCTGTGCTCGTGCCACTGGGAGCTGCCCGCTCTCACTATCACCAACTCAAACTGTTAGTGAGGTCGATTCATGATGAAATCACCCAACATATCCATATTTATTTGCTGGTCATATCGTGAAGTTATATCCCACCTGCAATCTCTTTCAATTTATCACATCTACCCCATACTCTTCGAAAACATCAGCATTTGCATATATCTCCAGATAATTATGCCATGTGTCATTCCTATATCACACACACATAATATATATATATATATATATAACATCACCATAAATCCAGTTACAATAGTCGTTCCTGGTCATCTCCATTGATATCCCGAGACGCCGGAGACGTTGCAGCAGCCCGGGGCACCTCCTCATCTCCAGGATTCATGTCCTGCATCACCTCCATGGCTGCCATGCGCACCTCCACCGCGCTGTCCTCCAAGGAACCTGGAGCTAAGCGCGGCATGGAGCTAAGCGGCTGCCGAGTTGGAGGTTTCGAGACGCTGTTGGGATGTACAGAACTAGATAGAAGTGGTTTTATATGGTTTTATCATGTTTTGTAGTCTTTTTCTGGTGATGTTATAACTGGAGTTAAATCATGTTAAATAGATAACGTCTATAAACATAAGGGGCACAACTTTGCATCAAATCTTGACACTTTCCAAGGAACACTTGGGGATGCACACAGACACACATACAAAAATAAATGTATCCCCATGAAACTACTTGAGAGTAACAAACAAACCACGACATATCCAAGACAATACGCCCTGGAGCAGGTCCTCCTTCGGGTGTAACTTGAGACACTTGATTTGAGCCCTCCGTAGCTGACTCTAGAAGAGAATGGTAGATCAACAAACACAATTGAACACCATATATATATATAGATATAAACACACATATTAGTATGTATTATGATGTTTTGTTCAGCGCGGGATTCTATGAAAGTTATGAAACATGAAACACCTCTCAGGGCAGCCGTGCAAACTCACCATCCTTGTGCGAGCATGTCGCCGGCAATCACTTCACAGACCTCTTGCTCGTGCTCAGCAGGAACAACCCAGAACCTCCAGAAGCCAAAGCAGGAGACAAAAACCAGATCTTTTTGCTGACTGGCACAGCACTGCCCTCTTCAAGTACTCGAAGGGGTTTTCGATCCCAGTGAATTTGAGTTGATTGATCACAAAGAAGTATATTACCATACATGATACCCCAACAAACTATAAGACAATAACGTATGGTTGCTGCAAAAAAAACACCACCCAACATTTTTGGACCCTAAACCAATGATATTTTGCTGCTGTAAAACCAACATCATTGTGAGGCCTTCCCTTGTTCATCTCCCAACAAACTATTGTAATCAAAGATGCAAGAATCTTTGCAGTATATAAAAAACACAACGCCAATGTTTGTTGGTTGAACAATCTGTTGAAGATGGTCAATCCAAGATGCCCATCGAACAGTTATCTTACGTATTTGGTTTGTCAAGTATCCTCATCAATATACAAGCAAACAAGCGGACGTTAGTACAACTTAGTATACATACTACTTATCCCACTATACACCCATTATAGCCCCATATACTTGTTGGTTAAATTCCCCATTCCCATCTTTCTCCCAGGTACCAGTATATATATATATTACATATGTTATATATAATTATATATATATATGCAAATGCTCATTATCGTTACCCCCTGGTAGTTTTCAAGAATAAAACTCCATTGTTACGCTATTTTTTTGCTGGGTGAACCCCATGAAATGCCCATCAAATCCCATTAGATCCAAAAACTCCAATAGCCTATCATCCAGTCCCATTATATAAATTCATGAACAAATCCCATTCAATTTCCCTAGCTTCTGTCCCTACGGCCATCTCTCCCCGGAAATCTGCCGGCACCCACAGAGGTTGGCAAGATGCGTTACTTCTATTCTGAGTAAGAACGAATGTAACTTGCTTCCTGTCAAATCGTACCATTTATCTTGCTTTGGCTTTGGCAAAACAATTCAACACACTGTGCCACAGTCACTGTGTGCTTAGGTTTGCCAATCCCAATGCTCTGCTTGCCATCCTGCCCTCGGCGTGCATTTTGAAGGGAAAGCATTTGGTGTACGCAAAGCTGCTGCCAGGTTTCTCGATGTCAAACTTCTTACTGCTGCGGATTGACCGCGTGTCTTTCGCGTAGCATAGTTCAAACAGCCCTAAGCCGCGGTCGTCGTCTTTGCGCTCGTGTGGCGCGAAGAGCGTTGGAGAACATATAAATACAATCTCCCATTTTCCCCAAAAATCAACTAATGTCAATCTTATATAAATTGTGTTCATGATTCTAGATTCCCATTGAACGGAAAGTCCCCTAGATCAAAGTCCCCTTAGCATCCAATGAAACTCAAAAGATCTTGGGTTCCCATTAACTTCCATCAAATGTCCATCAAATTCCCATGACAACCTCCACAAAAACCTTCGGTCCCTGCACCTGAGCCCCGTGATGGCATCGCGGCGAACGCCTGGTTCCTGGTACTCCATGCACTGCAGGAAACTCTGCCAGGCGCAGTCTGGGACGCTGCCCAAAATGCGCCACGCGGCACGGCGCACCTGGGGATGCTGAAAACTGCCTTGGAGCATCTGGAGCTGGAATCGGATTTTTTTGGGTGATGTTGGTAACATGTTGCAGTAGTTTATTTCTGGAGGATGATAAGTTTGGATGATTTGAGCTGCGAAGATCATGAATTGACCAACAAAGACACTGTTTGACAAACAAACATGGGGATTGTAGCGACAACTCAACAATCCAATGGCTTCAAGATGGTACAAAAAATATCACTCGCATGGAGAAAAAAAAACGTCAGGCCCGATGCCAATCTTCAACAACTCCAAATGATACCCATATAATCTCAAATAATGTGGGTAAATAATAATAAACCATTCCCCAAATCACCATATTTATTGGATGTTATTAACAATTCCCTAACTGATGGTTTATTATTGTTTTACCCACATTATTCTAAATACCAACAATGACATGCTTTCACACCCCAAGGATCCCCAAGGTATGTGTGCTGTGGGGTAACCAGGAATGGGTCCTGCCTTCCACTTGGAGGATGTGACAAACTTTTCGACCTGAGCAACGGGCAACAGTTGGGATGATTTCCCAAGGAGTTGGCACATGGTTGGTAAATGGTTTCAAACCCTTCACCCCGAATATTGAATACCCTAAAATTGTGGGGCTGCCAAAATAAACAGATCCAATGCTTAATCATGGTTTATAAGGGGAGTATTTAGTAATTATTAGGGGGATGGGGAAAGTTTCCCCAAATTGATACACATCCAATGATATCATCTAGTGAATGGGGTTTTACCACGGGCCCTGCTTCCCTACTTTGTTCATGCCCAACTCTTTGCCAAACAGATCATCATCATCATCATCATCATCATCATCATCCTTGTCCTCGCCATAATCACAATAATCTGATTGTTATTCTCACCTCAAATACCAATTGGCCACCATCCCCACACCAAGGGGCCGCTGCGGCCACGGCATAGCCATCCTCATGCGTGGCCATGCTTTGCCTTGGGCCAAGGCAGGAAGGAACCACCTAAAAGGGCAACCAGACTCAAATTAATGGACATATAACAAGCAAAACTTGAGACATAACTGATATGCGTATGTATTTAGTATATATATATATAATATTATAGAATGTATATTATGAACTGTGTACATATGTAGATAGTACGCATATGTATGCACAATATTTTATTGTATATATATATATATGGTAACCTGTTTCAACCCATCGTCACATTGGGATGCCCTGCAATCGCTGAACCAGGATGTTCTGGTTCCACTGTGGCTGATGCTCCAGCACCTCTCAGCACAGCGAATGACCCAAGGCATCTTCAAACAAAGACGTCCAAACGTTGAAATCATCACGAACACGGACTCTTTGGAAAGTATGTAGCGTCTGTAGTTGTGTATGTATTGATACATATATAGTTCATGAATATTATGCCATATATATAAAATATTTATATAAAATATGTAGTATTATGAAATTATAGTATATACTATATTACATATATATATATGTATATATTTAGTCGTGCCGAAATAGGATCTCTCTTTCTCTATTCCTCAAATTATTCTTATCATACACCAAGCAGTGGCAAAATCAGCGGCCCAGCCCACCTCCATGAGCAAAGGGAGATCCTGCCGCTGGATCCAACTCAAAAACATGGCTCTGGTAACCACCAAAAAATGGAAAAGTAAAGTCTTACAATGGAAAAACGTGCTATAGAAATATTTGCCTATTTTTTCTTGGGTTACTTTACTGATACGAATGGACGCACTAAGCCTGAATGAAAGCACCAAAGGCCACACCAACGAAAAACATGTTCGCATGTTCGGACCAAAAATCAGGCTTTGGAAATTACTGCGGCCTACAAATGTCTTGTTTCACTTTTAGCAGTGTGGCATTGACCATCCAATTCTAGAAAAAAAACACGGCGGCGAGCTGAACATTCCATCAACATAATATATATATATATATATTACAGTGATGTCGGCCCTCTTGAATCTCGTTTATCATGTGCAGTGATGTCCAATTTCTGTCTGGAGCCAACTTTACTTCCAGTACAGTATATGGTTCTTATGTTTTCCCATGCGTAAGTGTTGAAAGTGAAAGACACTCGTCCTGTCCATCGCAAAGTCTACTCCATTGATCTCTCCAACATCTGCAGAAATGGCTACCCTGTAACATCCGTTTCTAGCAACGCTGATGTTTACCGAAATATCTCATCATCCACCATAGGCATATATCAAATATCAAATGTTGTTTTAAAAAAACAACTTCTGGAACAAAATTCACCACAGGTCATTGGTAAAGTGATTGACTCATAATCTATCATAACCAAATAACATTGATTATTTACTACAGTATGTATATACATATATATATATATAATATAATATATGTATAGGCAAAACACAACGCCGGACACCTGGAAACCACGGGTTTTTGTAGCAAAATCACCGGCGCCTCTACCGTCACCCTGCTCAAATCCACCACCTGGGGCTGCTTCAGCTTCTGCTCTGCAGCAGCCTCCGACCTGGGTTTCGAAAAACGGCTGGATGGGTTTGACGGAACTGGATGGTTGAGTTCGTGGTTAAAATCCCATGGATCCTCATGGAGGGTTTCCCCAGAAATGGAGGCTTTCCTATCTTTAATGATAAATGGGGCTACCCCCATGACTTGGGAAAGCTCCATGAAAAGCTATTGGCAGCAACTAAGCCAGGTGTAAATCAGTGTAAATCAGCCATCGTCTTCATCTTGCACCGAGTCACATTTTTCATGACTGTTCCACAATTTCAAAAACCTATTAAGACTGTTCTAATATGAAGTGAACCTGAATGGTAAACAAATTTATGTGATCAGTGCTCAAACCTCTCCGTCATTCCATCATACTGGCGTGTCATATATATATATATATATAAATTATACTAATGGATCATGTAAGTATAATCCCCAAAGTAATCATCAATGAAACATCAGCCAACCATCATTGTTTAACTATATCCACATTTTCCTTGGTGGTCGCATATCTATATTCTTATATTTAATGGCGAAATCCTTGTTGAACAAGTGCGCTAAGTACGATCAGTTCTGGATGCCAAGTATCCCATCTGCAGGCGATGGAGCGTCCATCATGCCATTGCTATAGGGGACCGAGCCCCGAAGTGTGGCGCCAGTGGTTTGTTGACTGATGAGTTGGTGTTACTAACACATCTAACTCCATGATTTCCAACATGTATATACGTACATATACGTATATGATATTATGCACTATGTTTATTATTGTATATATTATAGTCATGTTGTATACTTGTTTTTTTATGTTCCAACAGTTTTGATAAGCAGGTCTTCCTTATTTTGTGGGAACCATGTGGAATATTGGTCAGTTTGGCAAAACATCCTCTACCATCTGCCCCAACTGGACCCAAAATTAGTAGGTCAGTTCAGTTGCTGCCGAACGTTGCGAGCATCATGACAATCTCACAGAAACGGCCGTGTGCAAGTAAGGCTCAACATTCATGTGAATGCAAGCGTGGTGGAATGACATTGCAAGCAAAAAAGGCTCTAAGTATCGGATCATTTCCAGCTTGATCCCATGACCAATGACCAATGACCATCATCTACCATAATGCCATGCCCAAGTTCCAATCAGGTCGCTGGGGTCTCACCAAGATCCAAGCTTGAACATATCCAGCACCAACTTGCCAGGTGTTGGAAACTGGGCGCGGTGGAGGGTCAGAGGTCAGGTGATTACCCTCTGCTAACATAGCCGTGGAAACGAACGGACACTGGCCATTTAACACCTAAGTTCTCTACACATGATTCAATGGGTAATCCGTCCACCACTCCACCACTATATTCAATTATCCGGACCAGAGGGTAACGCAGTTCTAGCATGATTCAGCCATGGTCCATGCATAGTACATCTGCAGGAACTGTTGCCTCAAAAAAATGACGCACGACTTTCACCACAGCGCTGTCTGGAGAAAATTTGAACGAAGGGCTGGAGTCTGCGTTACTTGTGAGGAGTTGCCAGTTTTCAGCAGTTTTGCCTCCAGAGTTACAGTATGGCTTTATCCGCCGTCATCCCACTGCTCCAACCACAACAAATCATAACATACATTCAGTTGCATATATAATATATATATATACATATGATCATATGTATACTATCCGATCTAAAAGAGAAAAAATAAGAAGTTTGAACGGATTTTGGAAGTCTAAAATCTGATCCCATCCTGATCGCACAACGTCGACTGTCCATCTCGATCGCACCATCTGCATCTTGGCTTCCAACAGGACCCTGGTGTACAAACCAGCATGGAACACGTGGGCCTTGACCCCAGGGCAGGTCACTGTTGGCACTCCAAAGATATCCAAAGATGGGTCATTTCATGATGTATCCATCTTCATTGAACCATGATACTGTATCTCCATGATACCCTCATGATATCCCATGTTTTTACCATATTTTACAGGTGTTTCTTGGTTTGCTCTGCATTTTTATTGGTTAAATCACGATTCCGCCCCAACAACAGCATTTCGCCCCAACTGAGGCCATAGCTTGCCAGGTTCTTCCGCCGGGTGAGTAGGAACACCTGGCTGGATATATGTGGAAAACCCAACTTATGGTGGATATATGGATACAAAACCTATGTTATTTATATCTACTCTAGAGTTGGGTGAAAACAGGCCTTCACTAATATACTTCCTGTGTACATATACAATATCATTATATATTTCAATGATCAATGATGCGCACACACACAAATAATATATATATATACAACTTGGGCGGACAACTCTGTGGTTGACTGGGTGAGAAAAATCCAGAAAGGTCCTTGGCAAAATGGGTCATTCTGGAAGGTTTGGGCCTCATCAACTCTCAGTCACTTTTTAATGCATTCTACGGAACATATGTGAAGCAATGCCCATATGCTTCTCTTTAAAAACTTGGCTCTCTCTCTCTCTCTCTTCATCGCCGCCTGACTTCATTTACTATACATACCTACTCTGCATATCACAAACTCAGGATTCCCGGTAAGAAAATAGTGAAACCAGCTTCACTTGAATTTTCACTGAACCCAAGCCAAATGTCGCTCCCCATAGCCGCATCTAGCTGGCATGAAAACTGGTCCACCCCATACTGGAAGCACTCGAATATCCTGTCATTACCTTTGCTTCAGGGTCATCCCGGGTAAGAAGGCACATCAATTTTAGTATTTGAAACCATCAACCAGTCCAAACTTTTCACGCAGGAATCGTTAAGCAGTGAGTTGACATTGCGTGCAAGTTATGCCGAGATCCTCTTTGCAAATCTCAGCTATGAAACCCACGGAGATACCGTGGCTATTGAGGTGCTGACGAGACCATTCCGGTGCTCTGCCATTTGGGGCTGAAACTATGTCTACTTGTGGAGGGTATGGCCAGTAATGCTGACTTTTCAATATGATCATACGGTCAAAAAATGCAAACATAGAGTCACAAGGGCAACACACAAGCCTAGCGGACACCAAAAAAAATACAAACAAAATGTATGGAAAAAATGTTGGTTCATGATTTCAAGACATGCCAAGAATATTGATCGTCCCAAGTAGAGATGGAACATAAACAAATAAAAAACCTTCAACCCATTTTTGGTGGACGCTACACAAATGTATCAGAACGTATGGCAAAACAATGTCGAGACCGTATGTGCAGTTTCTCTCATACTCATCATCATTGCAGGGATGGTCATCACGCCGGGATGCGGAACTCAACTCGCAACATATGCCTATAGCTCTAAAACCCTGCCCTCCTGTTCATACCAAGAATAGCTGGGATTTGTGAACCTTCACCATTGAACATTACATATGGTACATATATATATAATTATGTATGTATGTATATATATATATATTAATAGGTTTTGATCCATAGCCATATCAACTATCGCTTGGGCCTCTTTCCATCACCTTGTCTTCTTGCTGACTGGTACCAGGTTCCGTTCCAGCCAGCTTTGCTGGCCCGGCTGGCCACTGGTCGTACCACGGTGACTCCCATTGCTTAACCTACTCTTTGAAGGGGTGTCCTGCATGGGAAATGCTGCAAAAAATCTCTCAGAAATGCCATTCACAAGCTCACGGCTGCTATGAAAATTGTGGGCTGCAATTCCTGGTGCAAGTTGGGTATGAAAACGCACCATTTATAGTTGATTTTCCCAGCCATAAACCTCTAGTTCTGGGGATTTTCCAGCCGTGCAAGCCTAGTATCCCCAGTGCTCATTGGCCTCGTTGCAGTTCTATTTCCAGTGCTTGTATTATATCATTTGAGGTGCATAGGTATATCCCCTTTTTGTTTATCCCCTTGCCCTTTAGCAACAAATACCATTTACACATTTAAACAACAACATATACAACAGATATCATCATTAAACAAAAAACATAGTTGATACTAAATCATACTAAATCATACTAAATCATTGAAAAACCATGTATATATCTATGTGTATATATAAACATTGAACCATTAGTTCAATGAAGTGAAACGGCCGTAGGAACAACACTCTGGGACAAAGTAGGAAACCAACGATGAACAACTGCCATTCACAATTAAATCGTCATAATCATCATACTGCCACTAAAAATATTATATACTGTCAATGTACATATAATGCTTCACTGCTACGGGAGGCTGTGAGAGACCAGTCGTGGAAGTATCTATCGTCTCATCATCTCATGCCTCTTGGTGATCGGGGCTCCGAGATCTTAGAGACGTCTTAATATGTGAAACCTCTGAACCAAAGATGATCCAGTTTCAGCGGGGCTGTTCGGCAAAAATATGGCTGGTGGATAAGCTACAAACCAAAATGTAGTCAGTGTGGGCCATCACTCCAAATTGGGTGGACAATTAAACGTGTTTGAAGCCACTAGAAGTGGGCTTGCACCAAGACCATGCAAGCGTGGTATGATCTGAAATTTCTTCGATCCGCACACTGGATGATCTGCGCCCTTTAACTCAGCTCACATAATGGCCAACCTGGGTGGGGCAACAAATGAAGAAACAAAAAATTGTCAGCAATCAAAAAATCCTTTTGTCTTCCTGAAAATACGAAATACGTATCTACAAACTCGTACGCATCTCTCTCTCTCTCTATACGGGGATATAGATATAGATTAAATGTGATAACAATTCATCACAACAGGTACATATATATATAAATGTATACCTTCCTACACATTGCAGGTTCGACGTTCGGCAATTTGCTCTTATTGACGCCGTGCTTCCGGCAGCAGTGGTGACTGAAGAAAACACCACTGGTGATCCTTTGTACGCACTCGTGCACTATGCACTGGTATTGTAAAATATTGTAAATCCACTATAAGGTGGTGCCCTTAAAATCCTCCAACATTTGATACATTTGTCACATCTATCCTTGGTTTATCATTCATTAGTTTACACGTTTTTAATTTTAACGGAGAAACCAGTGGTGTTTTGGCCGCCGGAAATCACGGCTTGGAGGCCAAGAAATCCAAGAAACCCAGGCTGCATGCCGAAGGAGTTCATGCTCGTGTTCATCATCTCATTCTGAAAGATCACGGGACTGTGGAAAGCCTGGAACATTGCGAGGCCATGGCACGAGGCCCCGATAGGCAGTTTTCAGAGAGTCTGGACACCCGGGGATCTGTTATATGTGTGTGTATGTACAGATATATATATATATATGTGTGTATATATAAGTATATATGTATATATAAATAAATATAATATTAAAATGGTGATGCCTCCCAGTTACAAGCTCGTGCATAAAACCAATCAATTATATATATACACACCACAAATCAGAGTTCACCTGCTGATAAATCAACTTAGCAAACTATGGATATCTATATATATAATGTTATATAATGATATATCTGGTTGGTGGTATCACCACCTGAGAAAAAATGCTAGTCGATGGGTGTCATCCTAGGTAGGGTTGAAGATAAAACATGTTTGAAACTACCAACCACGAACGACGGTGTATATATATATATATATACATATTATTGTGTGTGCTGGGATGCCTGTTGAACAAGAAAAATATAGATATGTGTCCATCACTTTGCTTGTTTACACACAAAGTTAAACAAATCATAAGTGCAAAAACCACCAGAAACTATTCATACGATCAACATGTACAGTATACACTCTACAATGCATATATACATATACTGCATATACATGTCCTGCATGGCCAAGACATTCTAATTTTACCCCGAAAACCAAAAACTCTAAGCCACACCTCCCCAACTGTTTCAGAGCAGCAAACTGCCGTGCCCATTTTTCTCCACTGCACAAGTCTTGCAGAGCTTGGAAATTCCAAGTGGAACTACCCAGCTGTAGGGTGCTTTTGCCTCAGCTGCATGAGATCTGGCCACTATGGGACAGGTACCTAGCTGCTTACCATGATTTGACGTTGGAGTGAGGTCGATTTATCCAAGTTACTTCAATTACTTCTTTCAGAAAATCAGCCCAAAAACAAATATGCCAGCGGCATGTGTTTAGTAGTCAACTGATATATGTTGTGTTTTTTGATACATTGCCTGCCATGTATGTGTCTATATTAAAACAATGCATTTTTGTACCATTAGGAATGAAACTCGAAGATCCCGCGATTTTTTGGTCATCAGCTGCTCCGTTACAAAAAGGACATGCATACATATATGTATTGTATATAATATATATATATATAATAATAATTATTATTATACAGCTTTTTCACAATCACACAATCACATCGATAATTATGTATAAAAATATGTTGTACTTACAAGTAAAAATAATGTTGAGTCAGCCATTTGAGTGTCTAGTCAGCCATGCCTTGCATTTCTATGGCTCTTGGTGTCTGGAATGCCCGACAGAGTTCTCCCATGGTAATGATTCAATGGATTGGCTCAAGAGAAAAACAACTAGAGGAAACCATGCATTTTACCATTAAATTGAGGGTTTTCCTGGTTGAATGGGAATGATCTACCCAGTATCGTATGAAAAACTGTAACTTATTCAAACAACTTAAATACAGAAATAACATCACATAACGGTTGTTCCAGTTTTGATACAATATGGTTCCAGCTACCTAAATCCGGACTGTCAAATGTCTAGGATCGAACTTCCGGAACGACTTTGGATCACAATCAAACGCAGGATGAAACACAATGAATATTCAATGAATATTTGAAATCATCACTTGGCTTCTATGTGATTGTGTATCTTAAATATACATATATAATTATATATATAATAGAACAATATAATATAATACATACATATGTGCATATGTATATATCTGAAAATCACTATACACACACGCGGTTACATATGTGCATATATATATATATATACATATATGCACATATATATATATATGCACATATGTATATATATATATGCACATATATATATGCACATATGTATATATATATATATGCATACATATTCAAAATACATGCCATCATGCCGTGCCATGCCATGCTCATTTCCGCCATTTCCGAGATGCCCGGCATGGCCTGCCATAGAGCTTCAGCATCTGCAGTCTTTCCAGAGAGAAGAAGCCGGAAAATGGCAGCGAAGAGCCTGCAGAACTGGAACAAACATAGGGAGATCAAGAAACAAATGGTGATTTTTACAGTTCCAGTTCTGTATGTGATTTATATATATATATATATATCTATCAGGTGATTGATATGTGATTTCCAAGATCTTAACCAACAAACCATGGTGATTTATTATGTGATTTTGATAGGCAATAGTTGCTAGAAATAACTAGAATAACTAGGCTGGCGGATGGGTTTATGGTGGATGTGCAGTTGGGGTTTACCAACTAATCTGTAACTGAACGGGTGGCGACCTTGTGCCGAACGAAAAGGGGGGGTTGAAGCCCAACGAAAATCATGACGAGCAACGCAGCGTCTTCGAGGCCTTCGTGGCAATCAGCCAAGCTACGCAGGAGTTGTATCTGCATCTCCAGGTCTCCTTCTTCCTGGAGGTCACCAGAAAGGATACTTTCAATGGATTGATTGGAACATCTAAACCGGAAATCCTGATTTCAACCATCAAATAAGGGTGGCCCAGTTCGTTAGCTAATTTGGTTTGGCTATGTTAACTAGGCTTCATCGTGATTCTCAGTGTAGTTCTCCTTTCAATATGCTCCTGAAACGTGGTTCATAGTGTTGAGAAACCTATGCCTGGGATTGCCTGGGGGGGCACCACCTTGTAAACTTGAGTCGGTACCTGTTGGTTGAGCCCAGATTTCAGGAGCCACCAAATAAGTAGCTTCCTCTAAATTAACATAGCCCCTGCCATTTATTGGCTGTTGGAAGACTAGCTTTCACAAAAAAATGGTTCTCTGGAAATTCTGGTGGATATATTTGATCTATATCTACGTCTATATCTGTCTCTGTCGAATCTAATCTAATCTAATCTAATCTGATAGATAGTAACAAATAGTATATAATAGATAGTAATGGTCATAATAGTTTTAAAAACTGAACCAAAATCCATCTCTGCCTATCTCTCTATATCTTTCTATCTCTCTACTTACCTTATCTATTTATCTATGGGGTCGTAGCACACCAAGAGTCTTCTGCAGCACATAGCAAGGGGCCAAGGCCTGGCAAGGCATGGTCGACGGTTATACCACCATGTCTTGGAATATAGAACTGATATAATTCCATGTATATATTATATGTATACCTATGTTTATAAACACCTCTATGATCCTCCATGTATGAATATGATTGAATATGTATGTTAAGTGTGTCTGTGTGTTTGTGTTTGTGTTTGTGTGTCTGCAAAAAGTGGTCTCTCTGCAATTGTCTTTAGTGGTTTCCACGGATTGCCCTTCGGGTAACTCTCAAAATACTGGCAAAAACATGTGAATCATCGAAACAACATCATCATCAACCATCCAACATGTCTACCAGCAAAAATTATGCAATATTAAATTATAATGTGTATATATATATATATTCACTAATACCCATCCCCAAGTTAGTTGACATGTTAAACATAATATGATATATATATATATATATCATATATCCATATCCCCCAATAAGGGGGTTAACGGGTAGCCCCATCCCCCACCTGGCACCAGCTGCGGCTCCATGCGTCCTTGCAACGTGCTGAGCCAGCGCTGGCCGAGGCGAAGTGGAGCGAAGGCCTCCAGCAGCATCGACGCAGAGGCCGCGTCCAGGGCACGGGAACTCGACACGCGCAGCTCTGCCTGGGAACTGTTGGTTTTAATCAACTTTAACCATGGATATTCCCATGAAATCCCCATTTTTTTTGTGGGTTTTAATGGGATTTAATGGTGATTTAACCAACAAAAATGGGGATTTAAAGGTGATTTCAATGGGATTTCATGGGAATATCCATGGTTAATGTTGACTAATATGGATGGTGCCCAATAACTGGATGGTTTAGTTTATTTCATGGAAAATCTGATTTCAATGATTTTAAATGGGTGATTTGGGGGTATATACTGATTTTAGGAACCCACCATGTATCATGTAATGTCGGTAAAACAATATCTCTTTGTGGTGAACCCAGTTGTAGGATATGCTAGGTTTGTTAAACAGTGCTTAGCACATCGAAACACATCAAATGATACATTTCAATTAATGTGGGCAAAATAATGTCATAAACCAGCCATGACTGGGAATGGTAAACATACCACATATAAAAATGGTGATGACTGGGGGGATGGTTTATGGCATTGTTTTACCCACATTATTGGAGATGTGGAAGAGTGAAAATTATGCTTGATATTTGGATATCTTGAGATGTTCTAAGATTCTAAGATATTTGAAGTGAAAATGATGCTTTGTTAAAATTGTGCTACGGATAGATGTTTGAAGGACATTTAAAGCCTTTTAAGGAGGCCAAAGTCGAACATGGGAGACGCACTGCTATGGCCATGAAACCTAAGGGGTGGCAGTTGACGAAAAAATGGCGGATTTGCAGCTATAGGAATGTGAAATTTCTGGGTGGTCGAAGCTCTGCAATTAAGTAGATATGTAGGTATATGTGGGTGAGAATCTGGTGATAATCATGGTAGGCGATCATACAGCGAAGTCATGCTTTAGTGTGAGGCCCCAAGTTGTCCCCATCCTTCGGCCTATTCCAAGTACCAATCGCTGAGTCGGCCGGGCCTCTTCCAGGATGGCTCTCATGATGCTCAAATAGCGATCCTGGAACCTCCCAAGGGCCCACGCACTGGTAGCAAGCTCTTGTGATTGGAACTGCCCCAAGCGAGCCCTTGGATGCGGGCAAAATTTCAAAATGATGGGAGGTGGGTATGGTGCTTGTTGGCAGGCAGTTTCTCAACATCTTTGGATATATTGGGAATAGAGGAGGCCGAGTGATTTACTGTATTGATGCACTTGTTGTGGGTAATTGGCTTTGACTTCTCCTAAGGATCTGTCAATCAAAGCAACAAACAAAAGGAACAAAGAAAGAACCCCAATCATTTCATATCATTTCTATGGAAGGCGACATTCGTTATAGGGACACTCCTAGAACCCGAGAACATTCCTGTTCATTCATTGTAATGCCAAATGATTCAATCTCGTTCCAAATAACTATATTATTCATTCCACATATTTATTAACTATGACTGTTTAAGTTTAGGTTATCTTAAAGAATTACTTGATATGTTTAAATGCTGTTCTGGATTTTGTTTTTTTTGGGGGGGAGGGGACTGTTTAAAAACAAGTTTGTTTTTGTTTCTTTGGCTTGTTCATGCTTGTTCTTTTCAACTTTTTTTTGGAACTCTTACATATGTATATATATATATATGATGTTCATTTAGTGTTTTAGTTTTTTTTTTGATTTATGCTACTGCTACAGGTTTTGAGTTTCTTTCAGACTTGTTGGATTGATTTGTCGTATTTTTTTTCAAACATGTTGTTTTTGAATCTTTGACAATTTTGTTTTTTTTGTTTGAAAGGATAGCAACTTTTAGGAGTAGCCCTGTTAGGAGTAGCCCAGGGCTCTTTAATGAACCGTAAATATCCAATCAGCTCCTGTTGAAAGTCATCCCCCCACAACAAACCTGGTGGATCACGGGTGTAAGAGTACACTAGGTGGATGGGAAAAGAACCAGAGAATACCAGTCAATTGGTGTGGATCATGCCCCAAACACAGGGGCCGCACGCCAAGAAGAGCAACTATTAATTACAACCAGTTGGTTGAAGCCAAACCGGCCTCAGACTCTCAAGAGTTACCCAAAATCAGATGTGTGAATAAGAAACCAATTACTGTAAATCAAAGTCTCAACAAAGCTTGCCCTCACCTTCCAGTTACCTGTCAAATATATCAGTAACCCCAAATCATCAGGTCAAACGACCCTACCTACCTACCTGAAAGGTAAAGGAAAGCTTAGCGCAACGTTTCCACTAAACTCATCGTATCTCATCATCCAAAACTGATTATAGTGGTTTCAACCTAGCATGAACAATATTAATATGCTCGTCATCGCGGATTAAATTGCGTCCCCAGTATATCCCATCATAATGTAATGCCATGTAATTCCCATGGCATATCCACATCTTGACGATTGTACCTCCATGAAATATTGCTATCACACAATATACTTTCAACCACCACTAAGTGCCACTAAGCAGAACATATTCCATCAAACCCCCATTTTATATTTTATATGCTAAAATCATGTTAACACCCCATGTTTATTGGTTATAAATTCCCACTGCTTCAACAACCATGGTTCATACCGTCCCATCTCGAAAGTTGCAAACAACTTCATCGCAAAGATGTACAAGAAGTCTCGACCAAAAAATATACTAAACTCATCCAAACGATTCATAGCTTCATCATCTGGTTGGTGGTTGACCTACCCCTTTGAAAAATATGAAAGTCAGTTGGGATGATGATTCCCAATATATGGAAAAATAAAATGTTCCGAACCACCAACCAGTGTTTCATCTCAACTTCATCTCCATCTGTTGGCTGGGTTTCTACTCCCATGCTCTGTTGATTGAATCCCACTCTCTCAGAGCGTTTCCCTCCAGAATCCCACTACAGTATATGTTTTTAAAATCATATTGCGCCCTATGAAATCCCACAAAACCTATCAATTAATTACAGTAAATGACCAAAGGCTATAATGTTAGTAAAGCAATAGGATCCACAATCCCCAATTTGACCATAGATGGATATACATATATATATATAATTATATATATATATATATATACAAACCATTAACATAGAAGGGTGGTAAAAATGATTTATGACATTACCAACATTCCCTGCCAGGAATCATGGCTTCCCCTTGGATCATCCCCATCTCCTGTCTCTCCATCTCCAGCTGTGCCAGTGCCCAGGCCGTGTTCGCCAGCGCCTGTACCGAGAACTGCGGGAGCCGCCCCAGGGCAGCCGCGCCCAAAGCCTCCAAGATGGGGACGTCGCGCCTGCAGTGGCCCGGTGGCTGGGTTTCTCTTCCAAAAAGCAAGTGAAATCTGCGAAAGAAACAGGGGATTTAGATGGATTTAGGATGATTTCGGATGATTTAGGTGTTTTACGATTTTTTGAATCAGAACATGTCAGAATCGGGTTTGTTCAAGCAAAAAAATGCTCAAACATGTATGCGCGAATAGGTTTAAACATGAAGAAACATACTGGATCAAACGATCGTGCTTTCAACCAAGAACATATGTCTTTTTCCAAAAAGGAAATTGTAAAATAAGCACACTAACTGGATCAAAATGAAGCTTTCAATCAGAAACATGTAAGATGTCAGGATATCAAATTCTTGAAAAGTCCATCCATGTTTGAGTTTACTGTCTTTCTGATTCGCTCTCTCTCTCTCTCTCATAGCAATGCATTATACATATAGCATTGCACTTTTGACGCCATCAGCTTGCACAGATTCATAAAAAATACTTGCATACTGCATACAACTACCCAAATGAGTTGTGTTGTTGTTTTTTTTCTTTTCTGATGTAGGGTGTTATCATTTTACAGGTACCTACGCCAGGCTCACATTTAATCTGCATTACCACAGCATTCCACTTCATGATGATTGTCAATAAATTTGATCTTCCAGGTCTTTGAAAATGCGCAAGCATTCAATGCCCCATTTGCTCTGTCTAAAATAAACAACTCAAAAATCCGGATACCCAGGAATGGTTACTGGCGAACATAATTCAGAAACTTACTGTACAAACAGAACATCAGATGCCCAACAATTTAAATTTGATACCCACAATTAAACCATTGATGCAAACATTGAGATACAACATCTGATTCGAATCATCAGATTTGAGGTATCCCGACGCTTACATCAACAAGCAAAATGTTGCGCCCCCAAGTGAAATGGTTCTTGTTTCTAACCCCCAGTAAACCCTCCAGTTCACCCAATTACATCTAATTCCCTTATAAACCAACTCAGATCAGTATGGGACACCAGCTTTTCTCTCCCATGATATTCCCACTATACTACACAATTTTGATAGATGAGATCACCAATTCATGGTAAATCTTATTAAAGATACCTGTCACAGACTTAATTGTTTGCTACTTTGCACATATATATATATATAATCATTGAAATCGCAAAAGATTAGAACGTACTAGCTATAGTATCTAACCAGTTGGTTGACCCGGTATTAGCAATTATCTATAATATCTATAGTATCTATAATAGTATTTAACCCATACATTATCTATAATAGTATCTATAATATCTATAATATCTATAATTATCTATAGTAGCTATAAATAGTACCCATAATGGACCCCAGCAATTCACTAAGACTTCCGAGGCCACCGAGGCGCCAGCGCATGGTTGCCAAGGTCCACAGGCTGTTTGACACACTTTGCGCTCCGAAGTGCTGCAACTCTCCTGGGTCGGGCCAACGAAGATCATCATCCAAGGTGTAAGTGCTTGTGAAAGAACAAGACACACACACATACATATATATATATATGATTTTTTAAAATCATGTGCGTATATATATATATATATGTGATAACTGATTTGATCTGATACAGTAGAAAGAATGGATGTTAAACATTGTTTTTACCAACTGCCAATAGTGAATTCACCCAGCTTTGCTGGTCCAAAACCCAGCTTCTGGTTGAAACTGCTTCGGTCATGAGGTGCCAGAAATCATAGGAGCCAAAGTGCAAGGTAGCAAAAGCCCACAGAGCACCTGAGGAACACTCAACTGGAAGAATTTCTTTAGGATCCAAAAAAAAAACCGATGATTTGGTGTTTTCTCCGCTTGAACGTCTCATGACATATATCAATAAGGCACATACAGGCAAATGAATTAGAATCAAACAAATATGGCATGAATGCATAAACATCGTTAACTATGGCTACAAAGCGCTCCCTCCAGTGCTGAGTTGGTTTATAACACCATCTAACTACAGTATACCCCGTACAAACCCGAGCTATCGTAGTGATAAGCCAATTTTAATCCCATCGCCCTCATAGTAAACATCCCCTAAATGATACCAAATTTGTGTAAATAATTGTAAATCTCCGACATCCACCATGGTTTCTGGTTGTCTAACATTGGCTTGTGTTTAGGGATTACCTATCTTGGGGGCACCATATCTCCCATCTTTCCAGAGGGCCCAGCCGGCCCAGCCGACCAAGGTCTGCACTTGACAGCTCCTGCGTACCAAACTCCTCTCGTTTGCCAAGCACTGCATCGACCAATGAGTTCCTGGCGACAAAAACCGGGCAAAATCCACCGGTACTCCTCGCCATTGGGAAGAGGCCATCCACAAATGAGGACTTCCCATTGCCATGTTGGATTCAGGACTTCCCATTGCCATGTTGGATTACCATGTTTCAAATGATGCTTGCAAGATGGATGGCAATCGGCAGCTGGCAGAATTCAAGATATCAATCCAAGATGCTCGAGCAACGAGCTAACAACTTGTCAATTGAAGGAAAAACATGCAATGATTCAATATCCTCCGACAATCGAACCTGGAAATGGAAAATCAAAAAAAAACGTCATGAGAAAACCATCTACGGATGTAGAAATGGGACCGTTTGCAAGTGCTCATTTGAGGACAGACTACCGGATATCTAAACGCGCTGGCAGAGTTTCAGAAGCGGTCGCTCCAAAATCTCCAGGGTCGCGGCTGTCTAAGCACTGTTCGCCAGCTCCTAAATATGTGTAGGATTTGGAAGCTGCCTATAGCAGGTGAGGTGGGGTTGTCTGACCCACCTCAGTCCCAATTATCATGTGCCGCATTTTTGGGAATACAATCCCATCTTCAGACACACCCAGGTGTAGATCTAGGAGAATCGAGAATGGGTGGCTCTTGGTTTTAAATCAACCTCAACCAGTCAATCCTTTTCAGGACTTCAATCTCCAACTCTGGGCCCCAAGGGCTTCACTCTGGGGGGGACATAGTGATGTTGCTGTCTATGATCCTCATGCGTCGGCTGTAAAACGAGAACTCGAACTCTTCATTGGGGGTCACCTGGAAAAACCATTAAGCAATGTAACAAGAACTCAAACTGGAACCACATCTTGAAACGCACTTTGTTTTTTGTTGGTTTACAGTAGTTTTTTCTGATAAATCTGCGGGTTGGCATCGTTATTTCTTCATTCCACTTGCCAAACTGGGGTCCCAAAAATGATCTTAAGGATCTCAAGTCATTTACTGTATAGTTTTTGGTTCATGGGGCCAACTTTTTTTCCATTTAGACTAGATGTGAGCCGTGCTCCCACTTTGATATATAAATAACACGGTGGTGATAATAAATTGCCATCAGAAAAAAAAACACATTTGGAGCATGTGTTCCACATGTTCCCCATTAAAAAAACACAAATTTCTACGGAATTCCCCAGAGAAGCGCCCTTCTCCCGGCTCCTGCTGTTTGAACTCCCAACTCCTAGCCGTCACCTGGGTCAGCAATGCGTCCAGGGAAGGCAGCTAATGCTTCAGGGTGGCGAAGGTCCACCTGAGGATGTCTTAACCACGATGAAATGGTGGTTTAATGGGACTTAATATGACTTAATGTTTTTAAAGGGAGTTTAATGGGACTTTAATAGGGAATATCAGAGGATCCACTCGGTGTGATCGAACATGGCTGGGAAATCCCCGAACTCAATGGAAGTTTCGTTCGCTGGGAAAATTCATCCATAAATGGTGAGCAAACAGAAATGCAATGGGAAAGCAAAGCGAAGAACAACGGATCAAAGTGAAATTTTGATCGGGAAAATCACATCACAAACGGTGCACATCACTGCACAATTATGGGTCTTGGTTGCCATCAAGGGATTGATGAATTGAACAGTTATATATATAAGTCGAACCTTCTCACAGTTGGGTCGAACCTTTTCAATCAGCAACTGTTTTTGGGCTATGGTTCTTTCAAAAGGACAACCATGTTCGTACTTGCCCATGATGTGTGTATCAGTGCTTGTGTCAAAACATATCTTTGCAAAACATGCCGAAATGCCTGCAACAAAATCTCCTAGCACAATGGACAAGTCCTGCCAAAGCTGAGTTGCAAGGTGTTGGCCAGCGATTGTGGTGATTGTGGTCCAAGCTCTTCAGATCGCAATCGATCCAACAGTGCAGTGAAAAGCGATTCAGATCGCACCTGTCGCGAATCATGGATATCTAGGGATCATGTAATCAATTAGCATTATCTGTAGCATTATGTAATTAGCATCCTCCCAGATCTATTATTAGTGTACCATAAAATAATATAATGTTGTATTATGTTGCATCTATATGTGTATGTATATCTCCCATTAAATCACAAACAAAACTAAGACAGGCAATGGGGGCCACCAACTGCGGCCAGTGACCATTGCCAGCATGCCGTAGCACCACAAGATGTTTGCAACATTCCTGCAAGCTTCGGGCGCATGGCACTGAAAAAACTGGTGACCGGTGACCGGCTGGTGTGTAGATTGATTGATTGATTGATTGATTGATTGATAGATTGATAGATAGATAGATAGATAGACAGACAAACAAATGGATATGTATAAATTAGCAAATGCGTATATATATATATATATATCTGTGTGTGTATTTTATTTTCATACTTATTGTATATTGGGTGATGCTTCCCGCAGATCCCCAGTCGGCCAGGTCTCTGAGAATCGAAATCCTTTGGAGCGTTGATACAACGCGAGGCAACCGCAGCCATCAGGGGATGGTGCTGCCTGAGCCCCAGGTCCCCACTAGGTCCCCAGCCCTGCCACAAGGGGGAGATAGGCAAGTTGGTTAGTGTTGGTCGTAAGTAGACTAAGATTTCTGGTGAATACATGTGAATACTTCTAAGTATTGTAGTTAGAGGAGGCTGTACACTGTAAACCAACTTATAACTGGGAGGGCCGCTTCCTGTGGAGCATGTTGGCCAAGAACAATTTTGAGATTGTTGGATGAGGTGCCAAATATGAAATGGTGCCACTTCCTGAATATTAAAAGTTAAGACAACAATTGGAAGGATAACCCAACCAGGTGAGTTCCTTTGACTGAGCCGCTGTCGGGAAAGCTCGCTTAACAGCAAAAATCCTATATGTATGTATGTATGTATGTATGTATGTATATATAACAAGAAAACACGCATAAATCCTATACTGCAACCAAGCTTAAAACGAGCTGCAATCTCAAGGTTGCAAACGCCCACGAGGTATTTGCAGCTTCCTGTGCAGTGAACTGGTTCATTCTTGACGCAGCTTCTGCTGCCAGGCCATCCAAAAATGACCGGTGGTGAGATCTCAAGCGTCCGAATGATCAGACCATGTTCGAGAGATGCTGCGTGGTGGCACCAGGAAAGTCTTCAGCAAACATAGTAGCCAGGGAGATCAGGACAGGTCCTTCCATGACCTTCATCGTCCCAAGATCTCCTCATCGGATGGGCGAGAAGGTCAGGGGGTCAAGTTGAAAACAGGGACTTGAAGCTGTCAACCCAGGATGCTGTGTGATGCAATGGAAGTTCGGAAATCCAAATCGGAAATCTAGATTGGTGATGATTGGTGCACTTCAGGGTGCTCGCAAGTCGGGTTCGCAGCCCATGAACGTTGGTTGGTCTGTCATTATCGAGTCTCTAGGAACACATTGAACATATTGACACCTGAACAGCCTGAACACAAGCATAATTATCACGAACACATTGCCAAGTCTCAGGAGTTTCCTTACCAAGTGTCAATGTTCATTCACTTTCAAATTTAACGGTTCATCTTACGCTTAATCCAGCCAAGTCTCATGAAACTCGCCAAGTGCCCAAACAAAAGCACCAACTTCCCCTAGTCTTCCCCTTCACTTCAATTGTGCTCTTCTCAAATCAAGCTTAAACTCAGGCCAAGTCTCATGAAATGTTGGCAATTTCCTGCAGTTTCACACGTTCAAACCTCTTTGGCTCCACTAGTCGCAGCTGCTGCGCCGTCACCTCCACCAGTCGCTGCCCCAGCTGCAGCCGGGCCACAGCCCAACAGCTGTTGGCCATCGCCTGCCAGTCACTGCTAGGGAGGAGCTGCTCAGCGCGCAAGATAAGGCGTTGGAACCTGAAATGAAGTGGTGAGTGATGGTTGGGTGAGTGGCAACCCCACAATTGATATTTAAAACACATGGGTTTTAGAGCTTAATATATTGGTAACTGTAGTGTAGAACTATATTCCACAAGTGAAACTTAGAATGCCTCCCAGGTTTCCAAAACGACAATCTTAGACACTTAGAATGACTCGGTTTCGTGGGCATGCTAAGTGTTTGAAACCTGCAAAAATACACCTAATTTGATTTACACACACAAAATTGTAGATTTCACTGTTTTTTGATGACATTTTGCCAAAAAACGACTATCGAAACCAAAAAATGATGACCCTTCCAGATTATTCTCGCTTTTTTCTTCATTCACTTACGAACCTTTCGACGGTCATGCTAAGTGTATGAAACCTGCAAAAACATACACAAATTGACATGCAACACTTTTGCAGCCCCAAGAAAGTGGTTCCAACTGTCTCTACAAGATATAATTGTGGGAACTTGTTATATGCTTGTAACACTGAAAGTGGTGACCCTTTAGTTGCTAAATATTTGCGAATAGTTGCAGAGTAGTTGCTGAATAACTGCCAAATAGCTTCTAAATAGATGCTGAATATTAGCTGAATAGCTGCTACATATTTCTCAAATAGCTGCCCAATAGTTACTAAATATATAGCTGCTAACTAGCTGTCAAATTGTTATTAAGTAGCTGCTAAATAGTTGCTCAATAGCTGCTAAAAAGTTTCTACACAGCTGCCAAATTGTTACTAAATAGCTGCGCAATAGCTGCTAAATACTTTTCTAAACAGTTGCTAAATCCTTGCAAAATAGTTGCTGAATATATGCTAAATAGCTGCTAAATAGTTACTAGATAGCTGCTAAATAGCTGCTAAAGACCTTCTAAATAGTTGCTAAGTAGATGCTAAGTAGAAACTAAATAGCTGTTAAATAGTTGCTAAATAGCTGCTAAATAGATGCAAAATAGTTTCTAAATAGCTGCTGAATAACTGCTAAATAGCTGCTAAATAGCTGCTAAATAGCTGCTAAATAGTTGCTGACTAGCTGTTAAATAGCTGCTAAATAGCTGCCAAATAGTTGCTAAATAGCTGCTAAATAGCTGCTAAATAGTTGCCAAATAGTTGCTGAATAGTTCTAAAAATAGCTGCTAGATAGTTTCTAAATACTTGAAAAATAGCTGCTGAATAACTGTTAACTCCTTTCTAAATAGCTGCTAAATAGTTACAAAATAGCTGCTAAATAGCTACCAAATATTTTCTAAATAGATGCCAAATAGTTACTAAATAGCTGCTAAATAGCTGCTGAATCAGTGCTAAATAGCTTGCAAATAGCTGCTCAAGAGCTGCTAAATAGAACAAGGAGATAAACCACATTCTAAGTGTTGAAAACCTTGTAAATATCAGCAAATTCAAAAAAAACCGGGTGCCTGATTTTTTCATGATGTTTTTGCATCATTCTAAGTGTCAAACCGTTCGCACATAGCGTGGTGGGAAGATTATTTCAAAAGTGTAAGGTGCCCAAAACATGAGTTTTGGCTTATCCGGTGGTGCGGCGGCTTCCAAAACCATATTCTAAGTCCTTCTAAATAGCTTCTAACTAGCTGTCAAATTGTTATTAAGTAGTTGCACAATAGTTGCTCCATAGCTGCTAAATAGCTGCTACGTAGCTGCAAAATTCTTATTAAATAGGTGCGCAATAGTTGCTAAAAAAAATAAATGGCTGCTAAATACGTGCCAAGTAGCCGCTAAATATTGTCTAACTAGCTGCTAAATAGTTGCTGAAAAGTTGGTGAATACATAGCTATTTAGCAACTATTCAGCAGCTACTTAACAGCTATTTAGAAGCTATTTAGCAGCTATTTAGAACCTTTTCAGCAACTACTTAGCAACTATTTAGCAACTATTTAGCAGCTATTTAGCAGCTATTTAGCAACTAATTAGCAACTGTTTAGCAGCTATTTAGCAGCTATTTAACAGCTATTTAGCAACTATTTAGTAACTATCGAGCAGCTATTTGGAAACTATTTAGCAACTTTTTGGCAAATATTTACAACTCTTTAGCAGCTATTTAGCAACTATTCAGCAACTATTTAGCGGCTGTTCAACAGCTATTTAGCAGCTATTTAGTGACTATTTTGAAGCTGCTTACTAGCTATTTAGCAGCTATTCAAATCTATTTAATCATTATTTGATTTCTATTTGGCAGCTATTTGCCGCCAAATAGCTGCTAAATAGCTTCTGGACAGCTGCTAAAAAGCTATTCATTAGCTGCTAAATAGCTGAAAGATAGCTGCTGAATAATTGCTAACTCCTTTCTAAATAGCTGCTGAATAGTCACAAAATGGCTGCTAAATAGCTACTAAATATTTGCTAAATAGCTACTAAATATTTGCTAAATAGATGCCAAATAATTACGAAATAGCTTTTAAATAGCTGCTGAATAAACAGCTGCCAAGAGCTGCTAAATAGAACAAGGAGGTAAACCACATTCTAAGTGTTGAAAACCTTCTAAATATCAGTAAATGAAAAAAATTGACCGGTGCAGAATTTTTTGATGATGTTTTTGCATCATTCTAAGTGTCAAACCGTTCGCAAATAGCGTGGTGGGAAGATTATTTCAAAAGTGGAAGGTGCCCAAAACGTGAGTTTTGGCTTTCCCGGTGGGGCGGCGGTTTCCAAAACCACATTCTAAGTTCCGCTTGTGGAGTATATAGACTATAGAACTTGCCTATCATTTGTTAGGGGGAAACTATAGTTGTTTGCTTGGAAGCGGGAACCATGGTTAGTCATGAGGGTTAATCCTGCCAATTTTCCCTTGAACCAATCCTGGGAGGAAAAAGAACATGGAGATGGCTGGAAAGTGTCAATGGCACGTTTCGTACATGTGCTTCTATCTACCTATCTAATTAGCCAGCTAGAGATAGAGAGAGAGAGAGTACAAATGGGTCAAAGTTGTCAACACCAACCCCCAGAATCCTAGAATGGATGGCTTAACTTAAAAAAAAATGGCAAGTTGTGTGGGACCATTGGCACCCCTTCTTGAGCCATACCCCCCGCCAAAAGGGAAAAAACGATGTATGGTATCGTTTTTTTTCGGCAATTTACCCAATTCAACACCAATAAAGTGGAATGCAAGAGCTGCAAGAATGGTGTTCACACCAACAAAAATCCAACAGACATCGGTGGACTTCCGATGGACCGGCCATCTCACCACAAGAATCTCCAGGTGACACTGGCAACTACGTCCTCGTGGCAGAGAACTTTGCTCGTGCCAGTCGGTGCAAAGCTGTAGAGACATTGACTGAACTAAATTCCTCAGTGCCGAGTCGGCCGGGTCCGTGGTGAAAATATGTCTCCACTGGGGTGAACAGGGGATCATAGGGGATCACCAGTTGGATTTTTTGAAGGTTCATGCAGTCAAGAAATGCCTGGAGTTCATGCTGCTGCGTCTTCCCCTTGCAATCCATGATGATTACCTGATGGTTCTCTGATGGTCTCATCCAGTTGCTCGTAACACGCCAAACCAATCATATCCTCCAATGGGAAAACAGAAGTAAAAAAGGGTCAAGTTGATATACTATACCACTCGCCATCATCTTCGCAAAAAAGATCGCACTCCTTCGACACCTTCATTCTTGATCCACCAGTCAAATCCAACCAGAAAATGCAGCCTGGTGCTCCCCGGTAATGTGCAGTGTTGGTTGATGAACACATCGAACCTGGATATTATATATATATACTAGGTACTATATATAAAATTATAAAAATATTTTCATTCTAAACGTTTACAAAACGCTATAATCAACCTAAATGTGTTTACTCAGTTTGCCAAGTATGGTGCAACGAAATCATGTGCTATACAGGCAGGAACCCGCCAGGAATGGGAATCTTGGGGATGCATGGGGATGGTTTAAACAATGACCACGATGACCACGATGACCTCCTCAGTCAGTTTTTCAACCGTCATCAGGTGGTTTCAATAGTCAGTTGGGATGATGAAATTCCCAATATATATGGAAAAATATGAGAAAAAAACACAAACCACCTTAAGCAAAATATATGTCAATGTAAACGAATGTTAATCACTCTAGTTGTTTCCGGTTGAAGTTGAAACCATGTTGAAACCCCAATTCTGGTGGTTCAAACGATCATCTTTGGGTAACATCCACTGGGCATCACTGGGCCCTCAGGGCTGCAAGAAACGGACCCATTCCTCTGGAACAGCTCCAGGATCTCCGCACAGGACGCTCTGGTGATCTGTTGGTTCCATCTCACCTGGACGGATGCCCGGGGCACCGGCGCCATGCGCCGTGACCGAAGCCCAAAGATATGGAGCATAAGAGTAACGTGGAAACATGACGAAAACTGGAACTTGCAAACTTGTATCAACACATCGAATTTCATACATCATCGCGTCATACTTATATATCATCGATTATGTGAGAATCTTTCAACATCTGAGGACAACTCTGCTTTAATATGGGAGCAAACGTAGCAACAAGTGTCCCATCACTCATGCTGGGCATCCAACATTGGCTGGACGCCGCAAGTGCGGCACAATCATGCCGATCACTGCATGGCTTTGCCCCGCACACCAGCGCTTGGATTCCCTGATTCAAGTAACTTGTCTTGTGTTTGTCGGCATGTACATATATTTGGATCACTTGAGCAAGCAATATAATTTAACATCTTTATATATATATATACAGATATACAAATAAATACGTATATATATATATAGATACATACGTATGTGTATATAAATATATAGATAGATTTGCGAGTGCCCAAGTCTCAAGTAGTAAATGTTGGTTTGGATGCTGTGGATTGCATGAATTTGTATCCCTTAAAGAAAAACATTGTCATACGGCTCCGATCCAAACGAGCGACACAAATAAGGGCGCGAACGACATGTTCAAGCAGGGACAAATACCTTGACTCTACATACACAGCTTTGCAGCTCAAAGTAGGACCTAGAGTTCCAGAATCATATGAGAACACTTGTTTGTGAACACATGTGGATTCCTAGATCTGCTTCAGCATTCAGAAACTTCACTGGAGGCATTTGGCACATCGCCCAACTGACATTGCCAACGTTCAGTCGGCCTCCACGTGCGACACGGCCTCCGAGATCTTTTGCCGATCAGCAGCTGGCAGCTCCTGACAGCTAACACCAGCCTACTCAGCAGGAAAAACAACTTGCGGGTTGGAGGTTATAATGCTCGTGTACGGTATATATCTATATATTATATACAAATATCTATAATTATAATATATATATATATACTGTATATACTGTGTGTCTAATTGCATTTAGATATTAGCAAACCAATGGGAATTTGGGACATCTAATAGGTTTCTGACGGAATTTTGTTAAAGCACTAACCTGAAAAGAGCTGAAACACAATAAACACGGCCATTTAGGGATTCCCCGATAAAAACAATCATTCCAGTGACGTCACGGAGGGATCACTACAGTTGAAGCTGCATTAGGCGTGCCGAGTTTGATCAAGGCAGGTTTCAAATCTCCTACACCTAGTCAGTGACAATATGATCAATATGTCCAGGTATCCAATATGTTCTAAGAAATTCCAAGTCAAAGATTATGTTGGATAATTTGGGGGGCAATTGACTCTAGCTCACAACCTTTCCTTGCTGGTTTGAACTACTCTAGCTTTAGTATCCCTGGAAAATATGAGTGATTGGGGATATATAATCATCGTAGGATGGATTTAAAACAACACCAACCAGCGTATATTTATCAGCTAAAACGACAATACATGATACTATGAGATAGCATCTGGTGATGTGACGGAATATATGATATGAACGAATTTCAGACAACTAAAAAAAATATAAATAATATAGAGCATTATGTATTACCAGAAATTGGACAACACAAATCATTTATCGAGTGTCATACATCGAATACAAAATCCCGCATCTCCTGCATGGCAATTGACCCTTTGGTCTACCACACTACAAGGTTTACACAGCAATTGAATTGCCCATTGGGATTGCACCCGGGAAGAAACAATTGAATTTCAATACAGGCAAAAATCTAGGATTGCGATATAGAAAATATTAGACTTAAAAAATCGTTTCAAGCAGCAATGGATGTGTAGTACAAGACAAGACTTGGTATATTATTCAGCAAATGAGATGGGCTGGAAGCCTCAGCATGATTGAGGCATATTCAGGCTACATGTTAGTTCATCCATCAGCATCCCCACCTCAAACCTCGAATTTGTTTGCCCCCCAAAAATCATCTCCATCTGGCCATCTGGGCAAACACAAGTAATTCCCCAATCTATAATTACAGTAAGCCAATTTGTTTGGGATATGAATCCCCCATAGTTGGTCTGTGCTGAGGCCGCTGTGAGATCGCTTGAGATCGCTATCATTTACTGAGAAACTTGGGTAATGCACCGACATGCCATCCGATTCCATCCACCAAATAGTCCATTGTCTTTTTACATCGTCATCTTTTTGCTATTTTATTTAATTCCCCATATTCAAATATCATGACCACCCCCAAGGCACTCACCACTATCTCCTCAATTCCCCAAATAATTCATAAATTCACGAGAATATATGAACATATCCCATATCATCCACTTATCATCCCCTTCTGTAAGCCCCGATTTCTCTATGATTTCTCTAAATTCCGAATGGAGCCGCATCCCTCATTCCTCTGGGCCTCACATGGGGATGATTCCAGTGAGGTCACAACCCGAGGCCCGGCACCGCCGGCACCTGCAGAGAAGCCGCCACAGCGGCACCCTGCGTGGCTCCAGCAGCCCTGCCCATCAGCTCTGCCATGGTCAGACGCAGCTTGTCGTGTGGATCGGCCTGAAGGCGGCTGGTCTTCAACTATTTGTTGGATGATTTGGAATGAATAATATATCTACATATAATTTAATGGGTACAATGGATATATCGGATATATCTATATAGTTGGATGGGTTTTAAAACCATATTTTGAGGGTGCAGTTGGGATTCTAAATGGGTATAACAATGGGATGTTCACCCCTGTAAGTTGCGATATGGGGCCCCTATAACTATGGTTTCATAGCTATTTATGTCTCGAACTGGGCCCCCAAGGAATGCCAATATTGATAAATATCGAATAGTTTGCAGCATGGGAAAACGTACATCAATAGGTTCCGACCATGGGATTTTGCTAAAATAATGAGAATAACAACATAAATTTGGAGGATTGGTTTAATGTGACGTTGGAGCCTCTTTCCTGCATCGAAGAACGTGGCAAGCACGAAGTGCTCTTGACGCATGACCAAGTGCAGTCCCCTTGAAAAGAATGTGTCGGATGTCTTATGTAATATTCTCTGGAACGTAGAGTAGGTAGATAGATAGATAGATAGGGATAGATAGATAGATAGATAGATAGATAGGGATAGATCGGGATAGATAGAGATAGATAGAGATAGATAGAGATAGATAGAGATAGATAGAGATAGAGATAGATATAGATATAGATATAGATATAGATAGATAGGTAGATAGATAGATAGATAGATTAGACATATAGATAGATAGATAGCTAGATAGATAGATAGATAGATAGATTAGATTGGATTAGATTAGATTAGATTAGATTAGATTAGATTTATAGATAGAAATAGATAGATAGATAGATAGATAGATAGATGGATCGATGTATATATATATATATATATCCAAGCACAGCTGCAAACATCCACAAACGCATATTGTGCTATATGAAATCTCCACCAACTGACTGGCCCACAGAAAGCACAATCACGCTTAAAATCCCAGTTGCAATATATATATATATATATATATACAGTATATATACTGCATGAGTATGAGTCAAAGTCCCGGTACTCTCTCGATGATGATTCATCCTCATTCTCCCAATTCAATTCCCCAAAAAAACTCATACACACACACATATATATATATTAGAATGATTGAACATGGAAAGCCCATAAAGCACATATAATATATATATATACACTTATTATTATCATTATTTATCAATAACTATTAATTATATCTATTATTATCACTCTTATCTTATATATATATGCAGTATATATATATATATAAACAGTAAATACTATCATTAGTGCCATAGATTCAGATGTTGTTTCCTCAACAGGTTTCATGTCTCGCTGACCTCCACCTGAGCCATAGCTTGCTGCACTTGGCTTCGATCTGATGCGCTCAGATCCTGGTGTCACCGGACCGCGCCGCCGCCGACGCACCGAACAACACTGCTTGGTCCAAAATTTACCCATTAGGAATACCTTGGTTAATTAAACGCTATGTTGTAAGTGGTTCATAAACCTAGTCCACTGTAGTGGTTAATTAACCCTACTTTCAGTGGGAATACCCTCTGGTTATGCCAAAATAGCTATTGAACATGACCATAGAAATAGTGGATTTTCCCATTAAACATGGTGATTTTCCATAGGTTTCCATAGCTATGTTAGTTTACCAGAGGGTAACCAGTAGTGAAGGACAATCAATATTAAACTTCCTCCTGAAATACAGTACTATAAGCATTCTTAACTATAACTTATTATCCAAATTATAACCATTCTTGATCATAGTAAGGGATAAGAGTCATTAGTACTAAACAATAAAAAACAATGAGTATCTAGTTGTAAAACAAGTTTATTATCACAGACTTATGTTATGTTAATGGATGCCCCAGGGTAAAAGTGGAAAACGCACTCGACAAGCCATGGTGTCCCGTTCGGAAAATGACGACTACGACTGGTGGATGCTCCACCTATTGGTTGGCTTGCAGAAGTGTACTGCAAACCACAAAGCAATGGATTCTCAATGATTTTGTTTGGGTCAACCATGGATTGGTTTAAGCGACATTTTGACATGAAACCATGATTTGTAGTCAATCATGAAGGTGTCCTGTACATTTGTAGACCAATTCTGGCATGGTGGGGCTACTATGGGCCAAAAACACATCAAACATATTGGCGTCAAAACATATGAAACAACTGGCTGGGAAAAAAAGGTTGGCATATGAAAGTCAAGCAAGGACATCATTAAAGGGAAAGAGGTGGTGAAAAGCATCCGAAAAGACACGGGTGAACACCACCAAGCAGTTCCATCATCGCTATTGATGAAATGGCATTTCATTATATATATATATGCTGATTAATGCAGATGAAATGACAACTACATACAACGACCATGTTTGCCATTGTTTGCCTGTGCCGCCTATCTTGCCCCCAGCACTCTAAACCTGTTGTTTCAGGATATCTAAGGCAATGTCTGATGATCCTTACCGTTTCCAGCGACTGAACGCATTCTCCAGACTTGAATCAGCCCACATGGCCCACATCAGCCCAGGTGATCGTCTACCCTCTGGCAGTCAAAAATGGCAATGGAAAAGCCAGCATTCATAGATGATTTTCCCAACAAAGGCTCCATTTATCGTGGCTTTTCGCCATGTTTGGTTACCAAAGGGTACTGTAATACCACTGGGCATAGCCACCAGCTCTCAGTCACCCCAATTTTACCATGGTAACTCTGATGATATCAACCCACATAATTAATCAGCGTATGGTCGGTTTTGATAGGGAGTCCCAACCCATGGACTCCATGGATCATGACAGTCCCCCTTTATATCCCAGGATATAAAGGGTAAAAGTTTAAATTCGAACCATAACCATGAACCAACCATGACCAACCAACCACAATTTCTGGATTTTATCTCCATGTTTGCTGTTTGATACCTAAGTTGGCCGCATCCCCCCAAGTACCAGTTCGACCCTGAGAATAACTAGTCGAGGAAAGAGGTATCTTTCACCCCGCAACTCATGGCACAGAGACATCATGTCATAAATCCCGATTTACCCTCTCGTAATCAAACATGGCAATGGAAAGTCAATGAAATTCCAAAATACCACATTTATACATGATGTTCCCATTAAAATCTCAGTTTACAGGGAATTGTGCAGCCAGCCACGTTTGATTACCAAAGGGTACACCAACCAACGCCCCTTGGTCCTTGATTACCGCCTTGATGGCATCTGCCATCTGATCCTCCGGAGTGGACTTCAGCAGGTCCAACAACGTGTGGGCCAGCTTTGGTGCGCTGTTCTGGCGGGAGAGGTGGCAAACAATAGGGGGAACAATGGTTGAACATGGTGAAACCCCGGACATAGTGGGAGATCTTCAAATTTATAACAGTGATAGGGATCTTGACCTAGTTACTAATGGTGAGTGTCAAGAAAGGGATCATCCAAATCCTCTCTTCTTAGGAAATTTGATTCCAGGGAGTTCCAAGTTCCAAGTATGCCTAAATTGATGATTGGGTCTCTATGCTGTGCCACATGGTACTGCTGGATCAACTGCAAGTATGTGATGAATTCCTGGTTTATATAATCGGGTTATATCGGGTTGCAGGGTGGACACTGGAAGTGAATACCTGGAATTACATTTACGGCGTCCCTTTGTGCCAAGCATCTGCTGGAGCTTCTGAATCACTTCGGCATTAGCCATACCAAATGGGTACAACATAGCGCACTAATGTCATGCCCTTTACCTGAAACATCCTGAAACTGCGCCCCATCCACTTACTTCATCTTACTTCCCTATCATCTTCCTATCATCGGGACCTCCCAATTTAACGCTTCACCCGGGAAAAATTGGTCCATGGCTGACCTCCACTTTTTCCACTGCTTCTTTGAGCTTGCTCTTCTCAGCGGCACTGAGTTCCTGTGCTTCGAGGGGTCGCCTCCATCCTCCCACTAGAGGTATACCCAAATTCAAAAACGACACTTGAATATGGCAACAGTGAATTCCCATATCTGGAAGTATGCTGCGACGAGTGAAAATTGGGCGTTTACATAGTGACCCGGAGGGGGGAAGCAAACGCGGCAACGGCCAAAGGGTACCCCATGTTCTCCTGCAATGACAACACCCATATTGCACACCCCGCGGGGGTCCTTGATGGTTGCTGCCACCGACTGCTCCAAAGGTGCTCCCTCTGGCGCTGACAGCATTAGCTCGGCTGTCTTGACGCGCAGTGCGTGGTGCGGGTCCCCCTGCCAGCGCCGGGTAGAACCCCAAACTTCAGGGGGTGGTTGTGGCATTTTCAGTCGGAAAAAGACATAAATGAAAAGCGAGAAACAAATCCCATCCATATGTAGTTTGTTTTGATATGACTTGAGTCTGTCCGCACTCCATCGTTATTTGTGTATGGGGCTCAACAAGGGCCGCCACACTGGTAAAATCACCTTTGGGACCTTTGGGACACCGTGTTTCAGATTCCATCTTGAATCTAGGGGGTGCATGGCTGAAACCAAATCAACACATGGAGAGTATACTATCAATGGACCCAAAAAAAACGTGTTATCTTTAGGATCTCATCTCAAACAATTGATCTTCGAGGTCGAGGTTCAATGATTTTGACACACACCTATCTTAGTAGTGAGGTGGGTGGAGAAGCCCAGGAGTGGGTCAATCTGTTTGACATTACACACGTTTCTACGATCAATTTAAAGCTTGTGAACTTTCCAAATCAGAATTGTGGGCCTAAGTCAGAAATTCAAGAATAGTTGGGACACATTACAAGACCAAATCCATCCAAGCACTAATCATCTAATCTGGCTGAAGTGTCATAATATGTCATAATCCACAAATCTACAAAAAGCTTATACTTAAGGCCATTCTAAGGCCATTTGGGGATGATTCCCCTTCTAATTCCCATCATTCCAGCCACAGGCGGTTCCTGTCCACATCGAGCCCCGGAACCCAACAGCCTGGACCTTCCTGACAGCTACGATGATCTTCTTCTGCTCCGCATCGCTCAGATCCTCACTGCTTGGACGGTTTCACTCCCTCAAATACAACAGTCTTTGTGGAACATCATCCCAAATGAGATATCCGGGTAGACAACTCAACATATTTCAAAGCCACCAGACATGCACCTGTCTTGCTTTCAGTCCCTGATTCTTGGTGGGGCGAATGGGCAACAGTTTGGAACTGCAAAATTGGGAACACGGTTAAGATTATTTAAGACTAGCTAAGGAAGAATCAGCAGCAAACCCTGGTTCTTTCCATTCAAAATGCCACGAATTTCCTGTAAATGCTCCGTTCATGCAATCCTGGGAAAAGATAGAAACAATATGAAGATATGCAGTCGCCAGTCCTTCATGATAGCTGGCAGCTCTTTTCGTAGGTCTTTGCCCTTGGCACCTCAGAAAACAGCCCTAAGTGCAAGCAGCAACTGCCCCAACCAATATATAACTGAATGCACAGCCATATGGTTGCTTCTCAATCAAAATCAGGCGTCCCTACTTGAACCGATTAACATAGATCTAGCGGATTCTGAGGGTACTTCATTTTAGGGACCATGCATGGCCCATCTATGTCCATATTTGCCTAAGCGCCGGGATGAGGATGAGGATGAGGATGAGGATGAGGATGATGATGATGATGATGATGATGCTGATGATGATGATGATGATGATGCTGCTGCTGCTGAGGAGGAGGAGAGTGAAACCTGCTGGTTTACATACCCCTTGCATCCCATTTTGACAGGCTTCTGAGTCACATGTAACCAAATGTAACCAAAACACCTCTTGTACAACCCAGATCACCCATGAAGTACAAGGTCGTAGACTACCTACATTTGGGTGATTTGTGATGGGCAACTGTAGGTACATCAACGCAGTCCCAGAGCTTGCACTGGTGGCGCCTTTGGTAGAGCCGTCACCATGACATACCATGACATAGTAGATGGGCTATGGTCACCCATCCCATAATTTATGATGGACATCCAAACATCATGGGTATATAATTCCCTACATATATTGATGGATTGATGACCAATCCCTAAGATAGGAAGATAGGGGACATGGCCAATATTTTGACCATGACACACAAGAATACATAAGCCACAAGCGTATATAATTCGTTCTATTTTACATGACATAGGTGGTAACTGTGTAAACCATCCCAAACTAGAGGCTCGCCATCGGCTGTGCCACATCAGCTCGGACTGTGGCATTGCAGGGTTTATCAAAAGGTTGAAGGGAAACAAAAAGCAGAAAATCATGGCTTTGTCAGCCGCATATAGTGGTTTCCTGAAAAATGTCCCTTCATCCAATCCTCGTAAAGCCAGAATTTTGATGGCTTAAATCCATTCAAGTTTGATCTTTTAATTCTTTTATAGGCACACAGAACTGTTTTCTTACTGCCAAATCTCCGAATTCTCCAAGTTCTAGGACCATCAAAGCGCTGAATCCAAGTAACGTTCCAGCAATTCCGTCAGCCTTTCCCGCAATGGCAATGCCTCCTGGTGAATCACTTGCTGCCGCGGACCCAGGGATCAAAGTCAACATTAGCCAGACTTTGCATGATGCATGTGTATGGAATTGTGTATATATTGGTGTGCATATATATATATATATATATGCATATATGTATGTATATATGTATCTATATCTTATACAGTATATATATACATACAAATGTTTATAGAGTTTACAGAGCCCATAGAGCCTCTAAACATTGAACCTCACAGTAGTCAAGTGCACCTTTCCATGTTTTTCTATCTTACCTCTTAGGTATCTTCTCTAGCAATCCAGGAAAACATCCATAACACATTGCCAACGGAATAGGATATCCAAAAGTTGCAAACCCAAAGGACGCCTCTGGCCGTGTCACATGTTCCATGCCACGATGACTGTACATGGTTCCTATTGAAAGCATTGAAAAGCTTGGCTGTTGAGGCAATATGCCAGTGGGCTAGAGAGAAATGTAAAGCTATGTGGAGCTGCAGCCCGGTCCTGCTCTTCCTTTCGGTCCTGGATGCTGGCTACGTTTGTGATATCAAAGCAAAGCAATATCTTAGGCGGATGGGATGTTACACGTTACACCACATGTTCTAGATATGTTTTTCACTAATCAGTGTAAAACCTCCATTTAGTTCGGGCATTAGTGCGGATTTCTCAGCCACCTTTGATTACCGAAGGCTACCTCTTTGAAACACATCATCATATCTGCGCTTTGCTCGGCTCCTCAATCGCCTCTGCCAGCTTGTTTTCAAACTTGCCCTCCTCCGCCGCGGTCAGCAGCAAGTCGGCCGCCATCGCCGCCAGGCCGTCCTCCGTGTGGGGTGGATCTCAGGGGTGCGGGGAAGTACCTGTACGGTGGCTTTAAAGCCCCTGATATATGGATATATGATGATATATGGGGACGGTTAAGGATTCGTTTGGGGATATAGTAATATACTTGTCAATTGATTCATTGTGATGTGGCTCAAGTGAGATTTCGGTACTTGAAACCGTCACTGTGGAAGTGATGGTAAGAAGTGATGGGGTATGCGGCAGCCAGAATCCTGGCACCCTGGTGAAGATGTGGGACACACAACAAAAAGGCTCTGAGGCCGTGGAGACCCACAAGCTTGGCCATTGCTGGTACTGAGCCACCCTATGTTTTTGCCAGTGTCTGACCGCCAATGTATTCTATTGAAGCCACAATTTTGAGCCACGATTTTAAGCGCCCATCTGAGGCTCCAATGCCTCTAGCCTAGGAATAGCATATAGCCAAACGAATAGGGAACTAGACCTGATCACCATCCAAATTATAGATTACCACCTGATCATAGATATCACTAACCAATGGGTAATCACTTCTGATGATAGACCATATAGTGCCCATGCCCATGTCTCCTGCTTTTTGCTTGATGCTTGGGAGGTAGCCTTGTGAGTTGGCAGGTGGCAAGTGCCACCGAAGGTGCGGCAACGTAACATGAAGGAACGAATGACTCATTGGATAGAGAAGCGTACAGATTAAGTAATGCGTAAATAAATCAAAATACACAAATAAATGCTCACCTACTACATACACATGTATGAATATAATATTTTGTATACTATATATATATAAACATAAACATAAACAACCCTGTATATACAGCAAATCAATGAATGTGACCAAACTTACGGCAAAGTCCTGATATATCCTGATTTTTGATGATGCTATATGTCATGATAAGCCAAGTCCCTACACCCATCTATGCCCTACATATCCCTTCCCAAGGCCGGGTCACCTCCGCCTTCGCGACGGATTGGAAGACCTTTGTTCTCTCGGCAGGGCCAAGGTCCTGACGACACGCTGCTTGGGCCAAGCTGCGCCCTGCGGTTTGGGACCAAAAAACGCAGGAAACAATGGAACATATCTGAAACCAAAAGGACACTTCGGTTGAGAAAAGCATAAAATATCCAATGCACATGGGGAACATAGTTGAACATAGAGAAAACAAAACAGAAATCGGGACATAAGCCATGTATGTAGAGGGATCAAACCGGGCAAATATTCAACACTGGTGGGACATAGCAATCTCGAAATTATACGCACATACATTTGTATAAATTATATAATATGAATCATATAATTAATCGTATATGCTGTGTATATATATATATGTGTGTGTGTACATATCAGGAGAACAGTCCAGGAGCTAAGACTTTATCCAGTTGGAAGCATTTGCTGTCACCGTGCCATGTCAAGCGTCCTTCATGGCTGCAGCGATGGCGAAGTGCTGATGTCTCCGTACGGGTGGGGTCGCCATGAGATCCACCACTTTCTGTTGCAAGGCCTCTTTGTCGCCAGAGGCCTCAGTTGAAACAACTGCGGTGCTGAAAAAACACGCAGTGTGGAACGACATCGAGTGTTCAACAAATACAAAAGTTAGGTAATATCTGAGAAGCTTGGTAAATCTTGGCGATCTCTCAAACAGCTCTTGGCTCTTGACCCATGCATTGGGAAACTTAGATTTGGGTCACTACGAATACTTCTGAACGGTGCATGTGGATCAACTCATATAACCATGCACTTGTGTGACTGATCAATCTTGAGTTACACATCCAGCAGCCAAAAACCATGGTTAGATTATCCTCTGAAGTTTTCTCACTAGGCGGGTCCCCAGGTGATTCAGTCCCAGCCAGGGAAGCACCTGCGTGTTCTGAAGTTCATCTTGGATCTTCTTTCGCTCATCAGCACTTATGCCCTCGCAAGTGCCCCAAGTTGCTCCACAAAAAAAGGGCCGGTTTGGGTCACTACAGGCACTATAGTACCATGCCAATCAAGTGTTTGAATTAATCAGTCCCTCAAATAGGGCAGCAAAACGAAAGATACATGCCAATGTGAAACTACGAAACACCAAAATATCAACCTATAGGCTAATTTATGCCAACCATTTTTGCAATGAATCACGCTATAGTGAATTCACTATACTCATCTTGTACCTTCAAATATCCTCAAAATATACATAGCACCCCTGGCACCACCTCCTTTCCTCCACCCTTTCCCCAAGGTCGCCGTCCTTCATGGCCGCGGCAATGGCGAAGTGCTGATGCTTCGGATTGGACGGCGCCAGCATCATCATCTCCGCAGCCTTAATGCGTGCCGCGTCGTTCTCGCTGCTGGCCTTGCAACGAAGCCGCGGTAGGAACTGATTGGGGACGGGGGCTTTGATGAAAAGTCATGTACCGAGAAAGTAGGGAATATCACTGTCAAAGATGACCTTTTTTTGCAGTACCTTCCATAGCAATTACTTCAGTCTGCCCAGAGATATGACCATCAAAATAGGCCAATGCCCAACAACTCTACATGCCATTCCATCGAAAAAGCGGATGTAGCCAAACAAAAAACGCCGGGCTACACCCATGTCAAGTCTCCTTGTGGACCATTGGGCAGAATCAGAATCTGTGCTCCAAATCAAGCAGTGTATAGTCTGGCTGGGCTGGTTGCTGATTCAGCATGATTCAGCTCAGCTGTGACGGTTCCACATCGCAGCTCATTAGGGATGGAACCACGTTTCACCAGTTCCATCAGGTGTTACATACATACAATCATAGATACAAAGATAACATTAAGATGTATATATATATTTATAATATAATATAATTACACAGGATGTTCATGGATTTTCCCATATCCATGAGGTGCTTCTCATCGTTTTTGCACCTCCAAATGCTGAATGGCATCAGCGATCTTCTTCTTGTCCGTGGCTTTCAGGCCCTGCGGAAACAACTCATCGGAGCACTGCAGGTGGTTTATCCCCCACCACTGTTACAGTGTCGGCGTAGGGAGCCCGGAACGTCAATTTGGATATGACAATATGACATGACTAATTAATCATGATTATGAATATACAGTATATATAATTATAATATATATATATATGTGTGTGTGAATATATGTGTATATGTAACATATGTAACAGCGAGATACAGTGAGTCTATGCAGCCCTTTCTCAATGTTACCCCACACAGCTGAAGAATGGCACTGATGAGTCAAATCTATCATCAGTTCAAACGATCAACATCTTTCAACATCTGGAGTTCCACAGCTCAAACTTTGATTGACTTAGATCGACTCAGATTGGCTAAGATTATCTAACTATCCTTTCCGGTCCAGCCCCCCAGTCCAGTCCTTCATAGCCTCAGTGATGGCAGCCAGTTGGTCCTTTGGATTCGATGGAGTGGCCATGGTGAGCTCAGTGGCTTTGATGCGCAAGGCATCTTCAGGACTTGAGGCCTGTTGGGATGGGCCCAACGGCCGCTCCACATGGGATGACTTAAGATTTTGCTGATTGGCGCCTCTCGCATGTGTGAAATGCTGATTGGAACGTAGCAAACCACGCCATGAGTGGCATCAAATGGATCGACATCACCAGACTCAGAGTCGCCTGAAGTCGCTACACATTGTGAAGAAATATGAAGAAATACACGTAAGGCTGATATTGCCCCCCCTCACTTTTTTTGCAAATTACAAAACATGGTTTGGGTGAAATCGCCATGTTTGGTGGAGATTTACCCCGTTTTAGATGCTTGAATCCGGTCATTTCAGTCAGACTTTTACGCCTCTGACTTCCATTCCTGACACCTTCTGAGAAGGTCTTTGAACCCCTGCAAACCAACCTAAATCACCTTCTCAAGAGGTGTTTTTTGAAGTCTCAAAAGCCAACTATCCCATGTACTAATGGTTAGATAATGTTATATAGATCCCTCTGTACATCCCATGTTTGATGGTAAAACCCCCAATTTCTGCCAATTGATTCCTAACATGTCCCATTTATTCACCCATATTTGATCGTAAAATCATGGTAAAATCCCCTGGAGTTTTGATGGTCAAATCCCAAATTAATCCCTTCCAGGTATATCACAATGCTGCCTCCAGGTGCTGCACTGAGTCGCGGATCTTCTTTCGATCATCCACGCCCATGCCCTCCGGTCCACTCATCGGTGATTTTCCGGCTAGCCATGTTTGATTACCAGTATTGCCAGAGGCTAGATGAGCTAGCAAAAAAAGAACTGGCAACGCTGGATTCTTTTTGGTGTTCTTGGTTTGATTCATTCAGTACTCGGGGGGGATTGATTCTACATGGGTCGGTGCCACCACGGCCCATGGCCAACACCTGGCTATTGATTTCCACCAGCAACATGTCAGCAAGTATTCATCCACAATAATCATGAAACATGATTTGTTTCAATGGAATAAGTGCAAACAGATTTGTTTGATAGCAATTGTTGCAGTTCAAGCTCTCGATCTCAATTTAAAACCATGATGCAAAAGGTCCGCAGGAGCATTGAACTGATGATCATGCAAATCATGCTATCCGCTATCCCTTCTCCATCTGATCGTGCGTGCATCAGTACAGCAATATGGTGCCACTACTTCGAAATACATCTGCCTCCATGGACCTCCATGGACGATTAACAGAGGTAATTAAGCCTAGCACAGCATATCGGGTGAACAGCGCAACACGTTTTGTCCTGATATGTCCTGAGACTTTTGTTATGTGTGTTTCTGTTCCTCTCTGGTGAGATTGAGATGGAAATTGAAGGCTGTTTCTTATTCATATGATCCCACATGCGCCAACAAACGATGGACGGCATATTGTCTTTAATTCAGTGAACAGTGAAGAAAAGTGGTATATATAGTGTGTAAAGTTGCACCATCTATACATATCTATACCATTATTATAGCGTTATTTGGGTATTGTTGTTATTTTATGATTATCCTACAAAAACAAAAGCACGGACACCCACTCATCACACTTGCCCAGGGAAGACTGGAAACACTGGAAACGTTCGCGGCTGTCCTGCACGGCTGCTTCAATGGAGCACTGCTGGTGCTTGTGGTTTTCCGGGGCAGCCATCATCAATTCCTCTCCTTTGCCTTGAACGTGCTTAGAATATCTTGGAATATCTTAGATTCCCCAGTGGATAAACATGGATAAACCAATATAGTGTGGGAAAAAACAATGCCATAACCATCCCCCAGTCATCAGCATTTTTATAGGTGGTAAACTGATGTATAATTAAGGTGGTATACTAAATTATTCCCAGTCATGGGTGGTTTATGGCACTGTTTTACCCAACATTAACCATGGATATTCCCATAAATTAAATCATCATCTTGTTGGTTTAAACAGAGGATAAACAGCGGAAAAGATCTTCGAAAAAATCCAGGTTGCTCATCTGGCCAGTGGAAGATCCAGAAGAACTTGTTGCACCTCCGGTAGCAGTCTTTGCATTGGATGCCTGGCCGGATGGGGTTGTTGGGATACAAAAAAAGGATGTGGCAAACCCATCGGTTCCCTAGAAAAACGATCTACAAACGCGGAAGGTTTTCCATGGTTTTCCGCATCTGCTTTCGTTTTTCAGGGTCATTTTGGATTGAATCGCTGAAGGTTTTCATCACTTTTGTATCCAGAAACTGAAGACTGATCAATCTGGCAGTGTCACATGTGATTATTTTTGACGCAAACCAAAACCACACAAGTAGCAGAGTAGCAATGCCTAGGACATTGTAAATAAACATACATGATGATTTTCAGGGTTAAACGGTTGAACTCTTAATTTTACCAGAGGGATATATATATAATATATATATGTGTGTGTGTGTGTGACATCTGCATGTTCAAAACAACAGATGGCACCTCCGCGAGCTGAATCGCATCTTGGATCTTCTTTCTGTCTTCAGGGCTGAGTCCCTCGTGGCTGCGATGTTTCTGAATCTTCACATCACAATCGCAACATAGTCAAATACAAAGCCATCAAGGGAATTTATGATCGTTTATGTAAGCCATGATTGCTCAGATTCGCAGTCATAATCGTGGTGGTGGTTCATCATCTCCTAAACCCAGACTCCTAAACACATATATCATACAATTTTAAGCATCATTATATCTTTGTGGTGAACCCAATTGTAGGATATGCATGGATATGCTAGATTAGTTAAACAGGGCTTAGCATATTATATTACATCAACTGATACATTTCAATTAATGTGGGCAAAACAATAATAAACCACCCATGTGGGAATGATAAACATACCACCTATAAAAATGGTGATGACTGGGGGGATGGTTTATGGCATTGTTTTCGCCACATTCATGGTTCCCAATATTGGTTAATACCACTGGGTTGATTTAAGGTGAAATCTACAGGATACCCATAGTTTTTCCATGGTTTTTCCCATAAAATATGATAAAATATGGTTTTCCATAGGTTTTTCCATAGTTTTTTCCATAGTTTTTCCATAGGTTTCCTCAGTTTCCTCAGTTTCAGCCACCCATGTCCCGCATGGCCTGCATGACCTGTGAAGCGTGGCGTGGGAGCTCGGCCTCCGGAGACGAGCGCAGCAAGTCCTTCACCGTGTCGCGGAGTTCCGCCCGTTCCGCTTTCGCCTCCTTCACCGCCTGGGGGAAACCAGCAGGAAATCGGAGTCTGAATGGGTTATACCATGGAAATCATATGAAATCATATGACATCATATGAAATCATAGCATATTGTAGCATATTGTAGCTATATATATAGCCACAAATGATAGCTATCTAGTGAAAACATGTGGAAAATGATGATTCACCCTTATACCATATATCATATATTCAAAAGAAACCCGTATAAGCCACTTCGGGGACTTGAGCTTTGATGCGGGGCGCCAATATATAACAGGGCGCCATTATGTCTTTGTATATATGTACTAAATCTTCACAACATGGCAGCTGGCAGCTGGCAGAAGCTGAATGTGGATCTAGAACGAAGGGAACAAAGTGGCCAAGGCCATCCCATCTATCCTATGCCATATATTTGTGACATATCCAAAGGATGTCCTTCATTGTTGTTTGTCATATCACAAAGATACCCCCTGACCGATCACAAGTTCATAATTCTCTCAATTTCATATGAGCCATTACAATTAGCCCTATCCAATCTCATAAAATACTATACTAATCGGTTAACAAATACGGTTTCCCAAACTATTGCTTACGTAATCCCCAATAACCATGAACACGCTCTGGTAAACTAACATAGCTATGGAAAATGATCCACTTTTTATACGTAAATCATCCGCAAAGGGGCCATTTTCCACCCTTTTCCCATCACTTCCCGAAGATTTTCATAAGGGTCTCCAAGGCCTCCAGCTTTTCGATCGCCTGCGCAATCTTCTCCTTGTCCGCCTTACTGAGGTCCTGGCAACGGCCATGCCGATCGGTTTGGATCGCTACGTGGATTTTTAGCTGAGATACTCTGAACAAAATGCCGAACATTGCCGAAAGGTGGAGTAAAATTGATATTATAAAAAAAAACAATAAGCAGCCACTGGAAGATCATCCTACCAAATCATACCGTCAAAGCGAAGAAGTGAACAACAACTGAGTAACTGATTTTTTTGGCCAAGAGATTGATGGTTTTTCCCACGCTATCATTGATTAAAGAAAACTGGTCATGCCCCGAAGACAAACGAAGTATGTCGAAACAATATGTCCAAACATCCCCGGATATGCCGATCAATATGCCCATTGACAATGCATCCCACAGTGAATATCCAATGGAATCATCTTCAGGAACTCCCACAGGTCCCACAGGTGGGGTCTTTGCCTTAATCACGTTCGCCACTGTGCTATCAAGGTTCTTGTCCTCAGCATCGCCGGGGTACAGGGGGGTGACAATGGTTTGCCGTTCATAATCTTGATTGATTAATGTTGACCAGTGTCCTTGACTAGTGAAGTTGACTGATTGTCAATGGTGTTGATTAACCAACAGTGAAACGAAATAATATGATGCTTGATGCCCTTCATCCACGCTGCAACAATGCACTTGGTAGCGCGCTGAGGGTTAATCACCACCATAAGTTGGGATATAACCCCTGTAGCAAGTGTGAAACAGAAACGACTTCTTAGTGGCATTGAAGCCCTGAGTAGGCACGAACCTTCAAAGACTTTCCATGTCAAGGACCAAACAAGGAGAATGCAGGGAATGCAAACCAACGAACCTAGGTCGGAATTGATAAACTTACGGATCTTTGATGGCGTGAATGACAGGATGGGTATCTACACCCCTCAAACCTAATTGGGTTGAAATTAGGTGCTTCAAATCCTTAGTCTTGCCAGTGAAGTCTCCACGTTTTTTGGTTCCAATCCACAGTTTTGCTGGTTGGATACTTTTGTTTGTTTTACAGTATGCAGTTCTCCAGGTTGGTGCAGATTCCCAGTTTTGTTGGTGAAGTCAAGTCCACAATTATTGTTGGCTGCAAAATCCACACTTGTTGTTGGTTTCAAATTCTCCATTCTTGTTGATGACATCCTCTTGATCGTTTTGGACAATTCCATGGTTTTGTTGATGTCCATTACTCTCTACCAAATTAACATAGACCCCGAACAGTGACCAGTTTAGGTGAACATTCCCCAATCCCTATTTCACGGGCTCTATGTTAATTGACTGAAGGGTTTTATCCATTTGTTTCATTTCCCAAAAACGAACACTCTTCACGCCCGCTGGTCACGCCCAGTCTCCGGTGCGGACAGCATGAGTTCCGCCACCTTGATCCGCAAGGCGTCTTTGGGGTCAGCCTGTGTTCGGCGAAGGGGAGACCGGGGCAGGATTAATTATTCTTGGAAAACTATATGGACATATATGACTATTCTATGATGTCTTATTCCCAAACATACCTCAAAAAGGAAAGAACTTGAACAAAGGCAATAAACGACCTGAAACGCATGAAACTGATCCCAAGTATCGGGATGGCCCCCAAAATTAAGTACATTAAGATAACTAAGATCATATATAGTATCGAACTTCAGACCGGAGCGGTGACCCTGACTCAAACAGAAGCAGCACCTCGATTTTCTGAATGGCAGTGCGAATCTTCGACTGGTCCGCTGCACTCAAGTCCTGCCACCGGTGGTATCCGTTGATTAAGTGGCTGGGTTCCAAACTCGCGGAGGTCCAAAACTGTTCAATACCTTGACGTTGACTTGTCAAGTACCACCTGTTTCAATTTTTTTCAAGGGGCCAAATGCGGTCACTGGAATGAAATGGACTGAACCACTGGGAATCAACAAAATACAACACAATCAACAGCATGGGTGACTGTTGATTTCCGATTTTGCAGCATGCGCAGCCTTTCTGCCCAGGAGGTCACAAAAATGGGGTCCTTTCGGCGCTTCTCTTTATTCCCAGAGGTTCATCTAACGAGTTTTACACTCAACCACGTTCCCAAACATGCATGTTTTCTGCGTGACGATACATGGTTTAATCTAAGTAACTAATACCAACCAATACCAACCAATACCAACCAATACCAACCAATACCAACCAATACCAACCATAACAACAGTAACAGCAATAACAAAAAGAAGAAGAAGAAAAAAAAAGAAGAAACAGAAGAAAAAGAAGAAGAAGAAAAAGAAGAAGAAGAAGAAGAAGAAGAAAAACAAACACCACCACCACCACCACCACCACCACCCCCGCAGCAGCAGCAGCAGCAGCAGCAACAACAACAACAACAACAACAACAGAAAAACAGCGGGTTTCCCATGGGCTCCCCGGTTTCCGATACATTTATCATGTGACAACAAATTTTGCACCACCATCGTCCTTCACCACCCGCTGAGTGGCGCTTTGTGTCTGCTCCGGTGGCACCGAACACAGATGTCCAGAGATGGTCTTCTGCAGGGCACCCTGGAAGCCATGGCCCGTCAAGTTCAATGATTTGCCTATTCAAAATGGCTCTTTAAAAAGGGGGACAGCTAATTCGTTTTGGATGAACATATTCTGGTATTTGTTCAAGATGTGTTTTTTTTCTCACAGCAAACTGTGAAATTGCCAGGGGATAGTGATGGCTTTAACAAAGCTAAAGAAGTCGTGGCTTGCTGGAAAACAAAGAAACTAAACTAGCATTGGGCGTCATCACTAATTACCATGGTTTGATGGAAAATGTTCCATTTATATACTGAGAAAATAATTCAGCTGTTAAATTGTCCGCAGGGTATACACAATAAGTACCACCGGGAATTGCATGTGTATATTATATATATATATATAAATTATAGATATAGGTACAACCCATCATTATCCCATGCCAATATTAAAAAACGCCTTCCTGAAACCATGGTTGAGGACGAGATGAAACCATATGTATGTTTAATATTAGAAGACTTGTAAATTAAGATAGACCATGCAACTTATTTGGGCTTGGAAGATTACAGCAATTTCAACTAACCTCCTCATTGTCAGCGTGTATATTTAATGCGGTAGGGTAGGAGTTTTATCTGAACCCAAAAAAATGTAGGATTGTATTAATCTGAATGTATATGGGTGACAATTGAAGGGGTGGAAGAACGAATAATTGCATGATTCATACTTGATTCTATGGGCATTAATGATGCATGAAGCGAATGAATCGCGGTTTGGTTCATGTAAATGATGATGGGTACCAAAACGGGGACCAGTTAATGATGACAACGGTGAGTTAATAAATACTGAAATTCCAATGAATGGGCTTTGATAAATTAATCTTTTGCTGGTGATTATTAGATCATCATGCTAAGGACTGAAGATAATTATGGATAATTATGTATAATTATTATTGAACATATTATTGGGAAATAATGAAGGTTCATGAGGGCATTAAGTATAATACTAGAGTGGAACATTGTTCGAACGATTGTCAGTTGGGATTATTAACATAATCACGAGGGTATGCCTAATAAGTGTAATAACACATGGCAAAAATCCAATGTGATAAGCTACTGAATCTCCAAATATTTAGCACCAATATCTAATCACATTTAATATATAAGCAGCTCATGATATCTCATGCTTTTAGTGTACATGGCCCATTGAAAATACACTGGCCCAACATGATAGCGTTACACATTCTCTCTCTCCAGCGCCATCAGTTCAGTCCCTGATGTACAGCGTTACACATTGCCACATTGTATTTTTCAAAATTGATGAACATTGAACGCATGTGAGTCTCTGAACTGTACACGTATGCCACACGCTTCACCGTGTTTGAAGCCAAACTTGCCCAGTGATTGGCAAATCGGAGCCTGCCCTCCAGCATTTACTTTGCCATCCTGCAGTGGCTGGTGGGTGGTTTAGTTTAGCTACCCCTGAAAAATCGGTGTCAGGATCATCACATGGTTGAATAATGAACATTACTAAATTATTCTCGGTTTCCACATTGAATGGGTGCGGGAAACATGACCAGTTCGGCCCGGGCACCTTCAGCACTGTGTTCAGGATGCCTTCCAGCGTTCCATTCCTGGCTTTTACCAGT